TTTGGGGGACTACATGAATGTTCAGTGCCACGCCTGCATCGGGGGCACCAATGTTGGAGAGGACATCCGGAAGCTGGACTACGGGCAGCACGTTGTGGCAGGCACCCCGGGACGTGTCTTTGGTGAGCACTTGGTTGGGAGCTGGGCTGTGGGTAGTGCCTGTGAGGTGTGCTCAAGGCCACGGCAGCTGAGTTGCACGCGCCGAGTGGGGGGTTCTCTGCATCCCGGCCCCTGGTATGTATACAGGAGGAGGCTCTGCGGTCTCACAGGGACCAGGAGGGGGCTCTATGGTCTCACAGGGACCAGGAGGGGGCTCTATGGTCTCACAGGGACCAGGAGGGGGCTCTATGGTCTCACAGGGACCAGGAGGGGGCTCTCTACGGTCTCACAGGGACCAGGAGGGGGCTCTCTACGGTCTCACAGGGACCAGGAGGGGGCTCTCTATGGTCTCACAGGGACCAGTGCAACGGCTCTTTGCTTAGAGCCATGTGTAATTCTTTCCAAATCTGATTGCTAGATATGATTCGCCGAAGAAGTTTAAGGACCCGGGCTATCAAGATGTTGGTTTTGGATGAGGCTGATGAAATGTTGAACAAAGGTAAGATGACCGGAATTTTCTGCTGACATATTGTCAGTCTTAAGTTTTCACAGTGAAGTGTCCACCTCCTGGATGTGACAGTCCTTGCTTTGTGGAGAAACAGTGTGTCTTGGAGGTTTTGAAACTAAAACTCCTATTGTAATGTTTTCATGAGTAAGGTCTATGAGACCAGTCCCAGCTGGGGTGACAATATTCTTGTTTTCTCTGGCACGGTACACTGCCTGGTTTTCAGCACAGACTACTGAGTGGGTTTGAGGTGTAGCTTGTGGGTCAGGGTTAGGTTGTCTGCCTGTGAACTTGCTCTGACCACTGACCTGAAGACCTGGCCGTGTGACTCTCACAATGATGGCCTTAAAGCCATAGCTGGGCTCTTCTTTGTCCCAGGTTTCAAGGAGCAGATCTACGATGTGTACAGGTACCTGCCACCAGCCACACAGGTGGTTCTCATCAGTGCCACATTGCCTCATGAGATCCTGGAGATGACCAACAAATTCATGACAGACCCCATCCGCATCCTGGTGAAGCGGTAAGGATGCATGCCTTCATCCCTTTGTGGAAACTGGCTCTGAGGGTCCCTACCCTTTTCCATTTCTGAGTCTGAGCTCGATGTCCAGGACTAGCCCTGCGTGGTACGATGATGTGACTAGCAAGATGAGGCCTGGGGTCTTAGGGTGGCCTTGTCCCTCGTTCCTGGTTTGAAGAGTGAGCTTGTGTCTGTTCGCAGTGATGAATTGACTCTGGAGGGCATCAAGCAGTTCTTTGTGGCAGTGGAGAGAGAGGAGTGGAAGTTCGATACTCTGTGTGATCTCTACGACACGCTGACCATCACCCAGGCCGTCATCTTCTGCAACACCAAGAGGAAGGTGTGCCCCTCGCTCCTGTCAGGAAGGCAGGGCTGGCTCAGGCTCTGGGTTCCCGTGTTGATGCAGCTGTAGACAGCGCGTTAAGACAGAACAGGTCGAGCGGGAGAATTGCTGGGGAAGCAGAGGCAGGAAGGTCCCTGGGGTCCAGGAAACATAGTAAGACCCACCTTTAGCATGTAAAAATGGGTATTGACATTATGTTTTTCTATAATAATTTTGATGTCTTTGTTTTAAGCTGAGGCTCAGGCCCAGCAGGTTGAAGTAATAGCCTGTGGGCTGTCTGGGAGTGTTCCCTGTAGAGAATTTAGGTATGCCCATCCCAGCTGTTGGCGGATGAGTTCCCTGTGTAGCCATCTTTGGGAGCTGCCATTTTACAGGTCTCTGGTCGGGTAGATGAGCTCATTCATCTCTTGATCTGATTGTAGGTTGACTGGCTGACAGAAAAAATGAGAGAAGCAAACTTCACCGTGTCGTCCATGCATGGAGACATGCCGCAGAAGGAGCGCGAGTCCATCATGAAGGAGTTCCGGTCGGGAGCCAGGTAGGCTTTGGCGGCTTTGGCTCCTGTGCAAGGGCGGATGGCGCTGTCCTTGGTGCTCTCTGGGTGCTTTCTTTTCCCTGGCTTTCAGCACTTGGTCTGTGAGCCCTCTTGCCACAGTCTAGGCCCTGGTCCGCTTGCCTCACGTGCTGCTCTGGCCTCTTCCCTTTTTTCTGGCCCGTTGAGGTGCAGCTCAAGGCAGCGAAGCCACACACAGCTGCTCTCTCTGGAGTGTCCCCTTGACCTGCAGTGGAAACAGAATCCACCTTCTTTTCAGTGACCGTGTCACTAGGTGGTTTCTTAGTGAGTGTGTGGGTGTGGCACGGTCTCACTAACGTACTCTCTTGTGGATGCTTGTGTTCCTGTACTATGTTTTCACGCCCCTTGTCCTGTACACCTGTCATGTTTCAGATGTGGCAGCATGCATGTCTCTGGCCTGTGTGTGAGCAGGTGGCACCACTTGCGCAGAGCAGCTGCTGTGGTGTGGGTTGACCTTAAGATTGAAAAGTGATGTAACCAGTAGTTCCTGTTCATAACAGGAGTTTTGCTAAGCGAAAGTCCTGTTTTCAGCCAGGCAGTGGTGGCGCACGCCTTCAATCCCAGCACTGGGGAGGCAGAGGCAGGCGGATCTCTGAGTTCGAGACCAGCCTGGTCTACAAGAGCGAGTTCCAGGACAGCCTCCAAAGCCACAGAGAAACCCTGTCTTGAAAAAACAAAAGCAAAAGTCCTGTTTCCCTGGAGGGGCTGACCCCACGTTTTAAGTAATTGTAGCGGGTTTCTGGCAGTGTATGGGTGATGTGACTGTTCAAGGCCCTTGGCCAGGCCACTTAGAACTTTCAGAGCTCTGCCCTTACCTTGTGACTCTTCTTTCTGCAGCCGAGTGCTCATTTCCACAGATGTCTGGGCCCGCGGCCTGGATGTCCCTCAGGTGTCGCTCATCATCAACTATGACCTGCCCAACAACAGAGAACTGTACATTCACAGGTGTGCACTTCCTTCCTTTGCTCCAGACTGTTGGCCTTCATTTGTATAACTAACTGTTCACTAACACACATTTTCTTCTAAAGAATCGGGAGATCAGGTCGATATGGCAGAAAGGGTGTGGCCATCAATTTTGTCAAGAATGATGACATCCGAATCCTCAGGGACATAGAGCAGTACTACTCCACCCAGATAGACGAGATGCCCATGAATGGCAAGTTCCTGGCTCTGCTGGGGGTGTGGGGGAGGGCGGCAGCTTCCTTACTAGGGTTGGGGAGGTAATGTGTGTCATTGTTAATGTACCTTTTTCTCCATCAGTGGCTGACCTGATCTGAAGCTGGCACTGGTGCACTAAGACCTTGGATACAGCAACGCCTGTTGTGAGCTCTTCCTGGGAAACAGGAAGCCTCTATTTAATGGGTTTATATGAACTGTCTACTCCCAGCCCCTCACGAAGACCCTGGGGCGCTGCCATCTTTTCTAACCCACGTGTAAATAATCCAATGCTTTAAGCCTTTTACATTAAACATGGAAGTTTTCCCATGAACTTGAGTGTGAGTGTCTTGTGTCATCAGCTTCCCTGGTCTGGTTGTGGACAGACAGACAGACCGTTTCTCTCCCTAACTCCACATTATGGCCAGAATCCAACTTGAGACCTTTAGAATCAGTCAGACGACAAAATCCATAGAAGTCAAAAGAAAAATAGTGGCTTCAGGCTTGCAGAAGTTTAAGATGACAGAAAAGAGCTGTGATGTGGGTTGTCAGGACAACACCTTCAGATAGCACGAGTAGAAAAGCCAAGCACAAGCAGGGAGATGGCGGGTGTGTGTGTGAGAGAGAGAGAGAGAGAGAGAGAGAGAGAGAGAGAGAGAGAGAGAGAGAGAGAGAGAGACAGACAGACACGTGGCCGCATGAGTTCAAGTTCATTACCTGGTCAACAGAATCCTGCGAATGTGACTTGACCAAGGCCAGGGATGGAGAAGTCACCCTAGGGTTTGCCCATCCACTCACGTCCTGTGAAGGTCAGGACTCTGTCACACGTGTGTGACAGGACACCAGGTAACAGCGGGGTCTGAGGAGATGGGAGGAAGACCCAGAGCAGCCTTGGAGCCTTGAAGATGAGGGTTGACTGCAGATAGCAGGGGACAATTCCATGTAAACTGTAGCTGAGTTTGCTAACAGCCCATGTGAGCAGAGCAGCCTGTAGCCTCTGACACTGACCAGCAAGGTAGCAGCTGATACAGATGCCACCAACACTGCCAGTGACATAAAATGAGCATATAAGGGTTAAACTACCCAGCTCAGAAGTAAGATTTGCTGGAGAAGACATGGGTGGCATGAGAGCTGCTTGGTGCTGGGCAGCCGGCAGTGTGAGAGTCGCCATGGGCACTTCCACACCTCCACAACTGCTGAAGTCAGGCTGGGTGCAGCATGGGATGTGAGGGTAGACTGGCTGTACCCTGGCATCCCATTGGGGCCGGGTTGATGGGGCTGATGCTGGCTAGGCACGTGTCATCCCCTTAGTCCCTCACTGTTCCTGGTGCATCCTTCCCTGTGGTCGAGGAGGGTGACTCCTGGTGGAGGGAGGGGTAAGGTAACCTCCCCCCCCCCCAATGCTGCTGGGACAGGGATCCCTGCTCCACAGCAAATACTGCATTTCTTCCCTTAGGAAGTTACGTATCACCCTCTGAATTTTTTCATAACTGGGATGGTTGTGTCAGGCTTTCCAGATCCAAAATAGATGAAAAATAAAAAGGTCCCAACTCGTCGGTGGTGGTGATGGCGCACGCCTTTAATCCCAGCACTCAGGTGGCAGAGGCAGGTGGATCTCTGTGAGTTCGAGACCAGCCTGGTCTACAGAGCTAGTTCCAGGACAGCCTCCAAAGCCACAGAGAAGCCCTGCCTCCAAAAGCCAAAAAAGGTCCCAACTATAAACACCACGGTTGTCCCTGTACTGTGCGACTGTTCCTGAAATGTGAGCAAACACCTCACCCCACAAGGCAGCAGTGACACCAGCAAGTAGCTTAGCAGAGCAGCGAGTTTATTGGCGTTAGGACAGAGTAGAAGACTTGAAGGCAGCTGTATTACGGAGAAGCCCGCCCCAGCATGCAGAGAGCGGTGTCCCTGGACTACAGATGAAGCCAGCCCAGCCCGTTGGGGGGTTTCCTATCTGGTAGCCATTACTGCCACATAGCTTTGCGAACCCTGTGTTTCAGGAGATTCTGGAACCTTAATGAGCTCCCCTCTAGGAAGTAATGTAGGGACGAGGAAACAGTAAAACCATGCACGTCAAGAAAGACACTGTCACGCGGATGAAACGGATGCTGGATGACAGATGAACTTTCTAGGAGATGTAAACTGCATGGACAAAAAGCCAGCTTTTGACTGATTTCTGACAGGGTTAAGATCTTCTTATCACTCGCTTGATCTGCACTGACAACAGCTGGGAGGGGAAAGAAGGAAGTCCCTGGCTGCCTCCCACATCGGGACCAGGTGGCAGTCCCGGGATTTGCTCATCTCTACTCCAGAAGATTGCCCGTGTCTCACTGCTCATCTCTGCTCCAGATGGACTGCCCGTGTCTCACTGATCATGCAGCGTTGGTCACTGAGCCAACGGGACTAGCCCACTCCACCTCTACCCTGTCCCTTCCAGAAAAGCTTCCCATCCAGGGCTCGGGACAGGCTAAGCAGGGCCAGGCCCTGTAACAGCAGCCCAAGGCTATAAAGGGCTGACAGCTTCTTGGGTAAGGGCTGGCAGGGATCCAGGGGCCACATGCCTGTGGTGACTTGAGCTGCAGGAGTTGCCCTGGGGGGAGGCACCAGTTCCCTCTGCTCCCTCCCTTCTGTTTTCTCTGGAGACCTGGGGAGCCTGCCTATGCCTCTCAGCCCTTCCAGTTGGTGCGGAAACCGGGATCCGCACCATAGGCAGAGAGACTCTAACAGGATCAGTCCAATGCATCTGTTTCCTTGTACCCACGCTAAGGCAAGGAGGAGGGATGGGGCAGAACCTGCTGTGACCACTGTGGAACCTCCCCCTCCTTCCACATCCAGGAGAGGCTCCCAGCAGGCAAGGTGACCCAGCTGGAAGGGACTCCCGCACACAGTGATCCAGTAAGGCAGGGGCTCCCAGAGTCCCCGTGCTTTTGGTGCTTGGTTTTCTGGAGGTCAGAGCAGTGGGTTGGGCTGCTGACCCTCTCAGCCCATCACCCTGGTGACAAATTTGGAATGAGTGACACATGCCAGTTCATGGCAGACATAAAACGCCTTCCTTTGCTCCAGGCGTGCCAGGGAGCCTAGGCCTGAATTCCTGGGGACAGACCTCGGGGAAAGACCTCAGGCCCCGCTCCGGGAAGCCCTTTCCTGGCTTTGCCCTCACTGCCCTGGCATGTCTCCACCAACACCTCCCTGAGCAGCTGCAGCAGGATGCTCTCTTGCTAACTCGGGTGACACACAAGCCTGAGGTGATGGGAAGGAGAGGTAATGCTGGGCATCTGAAGATGATACAGGGACACGAGGGTGGCTGAGGGATGAGGGTGACATGAGGGTGAGTGACATGAAGACATGAGGTGATATGAGAGCTGGTTCCAAATGTCCTTTTTATTTAAAGTAAGTGCACTTCGCATAAGTTTCTCAAGTCCTGTAAACCCAATGACACCACCAACCCTGTCTCTATGGGGTCACAGTTGCAGTGGTTGTGTGGACTGATGTTGGCACGGTGTCCCCAAGCTGAGCTTCACATTCTTTAGTGTCAGGGACAGACAGCTGGGGACAGAGAGGGGAGCAAGCCTCACTCCTAACAGTACCTCAAGGGCAGAAGCAGCAACATAGTGGGAAAACTCAAGGGTGTGTCAGGATAGGTCTCAGGTCCTTACAGACGCCACCACCCAAAGCTTGTGCACAGCCTCGCCGAGAGGCTTCTGTAAACCAGGTGTGCCCTGCTAGGACCAGTCAATCTGAAACTGTTCTCCCATGAGCAGTGAGACAGGGATGGCCAGGGTCTGCAAGACAGAAAAAAAAGAGCTTGAGCACCAAGTGGTTCCCCTCACAGCCACGCTCCAGAGACAGGCGTCTGACGATGTGACACCAGGTCCCGTCTCCACTGAGAAGACCAAGCCTCAGAATTAGCACCTGATTCCATTTGGGAGCAGCTCAGCCCCCATCATCCCTGCCCTCCCAAAGCAGAAATGGTGAGGGGTTAGGTCCAAGTGCCCTCTGTCTCCCTCCCAACAGTGTGTCTCATGATAGCTGAACCAACTGAGTCCCTGGGGTCCTTAGCATCCCCACACACTCCAGCACAAGAACCCCAGTTCCCAGCCTGCCCCCTCTTACCTTGCTGTCAGGGCTATAGGTGAAATTGGAGACAGGGACACCATTGGAAAGGACTTGTGCAGGGGCTGTGGCTACTCCCAAGACGGTCACCTTCCTCAGCTGTAGGCCAGCCCCCTCCTTGGTCACGTGTACTAGCTCATTCACAATGGTATTCTGGTAATGTGGGAGAAAGAAAAAGTGCCATCAGACTGTGACAGTGAGCCCACCACCAGAACAGGGACTCACTAAACCATCATAGGACAGTCCTCCTGTGTGCAGACATGAGGGACATGCTGACCCAGGCTGGTGGCCACTGGGTTCTCTGGCCCGGTCTCTTCTTCCATCTCCAGATCCCGACAGCCCCACGCCCACGTTTCTGCCTGCCAGCCGGGGCGGGCCCTGAGACTCACGTTCTTGGCCGAGAAGGTGACCAGTGTGTAGGCCCCACGCTCCAGGACATCAAGGCTCTCCCCGTCATCCCAGAACAGCTCCCCACGAGCCTCGCCACTTGCCGTTAATGCCACAGCCAGGGCCATGGGCTGCTTTCGGGATTCTGTGGTTGTGAGGCTGGGGCCCTGGGAAGACGGTGGGCACATGTCACACGTTGGAGACTTCCAGGACATCCATGGTGACTACTAGGCCAGGTGCTGGGTAACCCAGGATGTCTGGTGACAACCCTGGCCAAGTCCTGTCAGCGCCTCCATGACTGCCAGGGTTTATCCTAACAGAGCTCCATTGAGGGAAGGCAGACTACGCCCTGCACCTGCTCCCTCCTGCCTCCTCCCCTCCCGAAGTACCATCTAAAGCCCATCTCAGTCCTTCCTGAGGCCCTGGAGCTGCTGCATCCGGGTACCTGCAGCGGTATGATGTAGCCTGCCCTCAGGTGCACATTGATGGTATCCAGGGGGGCTTCCAGCGTCAACCACTGCCCAGTGCTGTGCACAACAGACCCGAGGGGTGATGGCGGAGATGACGGAGGAGACGGGAGGCTGCCGAGACCCTCCACAGACACCTGGAGGGAGAGGTCAGTCACACAGAGGCCTCCCAGGCAGCACCCAAGCTGCCACGCTGGTACTTGTAGCCACGTTCTGTCCCCCAAGGCTATGTGTGGTGGGCCAAATGTCCCCGTCGAGACAGACCGGCTGTGACCCCAGGAGTGAGCTCAGTGTAGGGCTGATCAGGGCAGGCCTGGCTCAGCTCAGCCTCCACGGCTGTGGGGCCCCAGACACCACCCATTCCAGCCTTCATTTCCTTGTCTAGAAGTGGGGGTTTACAGCAAGAGCTGATCACAAGGGACTGCCAGGGAAGGAGTCAGCATGCAGCTGGGACCTCAGAGCAGGTGAGCCTCCTCTCAGCTCGCCACTGACAGGCCAGGGAGGCATGGCCACCTGTTGTTGGGCCCCAGCCCCTCGGCGTCTCTGTGAGTTGCTGGTCAGCCTGCAAGTGCAACTTGTTTTCCAGTCCAAGTGCTTCCTGTTTTCTAGTCCTGGCTTCCTGCCCTGGCCTTGACCCTCTGACATCAACATTCAGCAGGAGGAAAACACGCTCTCTTCTACCTGGGGTTTTTCCACTGTGCTGTAAACCTGTATATAAAGCTCCTCCCTCCTACAAGAGAGAGACCTCTTAGCACTTGCAATGAAGACACACACACACACACACACACACACACACACTCTCTCTCTCTCTCTCTCTCTCTCTCTCTCTCTCTCTCTCTCTCTCTCTCTCTCTCTCTCTCTCTCTCCTGGCGATAAAGGCAGCACATGCATTCTCCTAGTACAAACAGCTGGACATCTAGTCTCTCTTTTTCTGATACCTTGGAGTTGCTTGTGGCGCGGGCGCCGCCACCTGTGACTCCCCACTTCTGTGGATGAGGGACCCCAGGACTCACCATCTGCAGGTTATACCACGTGCCCTCGGGGAAGTAGCCAGTCACTTCCGTTTTCCCAGGCTCCAGCACCGGCGTGATGAGCAGGGCTGAACCCCACAAGAGCTGGCGGTCCACTGACCAGGTGCTGGGATCCTCAGGGAACCTGCACAGGAGATGGGCATGAGGGCTGAGAGAGCCGCAGAAGTCAGCTGAGGACAGTCAGAAATCCCAATCTCTGAGAAACTTCAGGAACCAGAGCATCTGGGTTAACTGTGGCTACACACTCTGCGCTTTTTCTTCTCTTTTTTTCTTTTCAGGGTTTCTCTGTGTAGCCCTAGCTGTCCTGGAGCTCGTGCTGTAGACAAGGATGGCCTTGAACTCACAGTAATCTGCTGTCTTTTGCCCTGAGTGCTGGGAATAAAAGTGTGCGCCACTACACCTACATGCCACACGCCCAGCACATGAGCACTGGGGAACAACCCTGAACCTTCATGTTTATTTATTTATTTATTTATTTTTGGTTTTTCGAGACAGGGTTTCTCTGTGGCTTTGGAGGCTGTCCTGGAACTCACTTGGTAGTTCAGGCTGGTCTCGAACTCACAGAGATCCGCCTGCCTCTGCCTCCCGAGTGCTGGGATTAAAGGCGTGCGCCACCAACGCCCAGCCGAACCTTCATGTTTATAAGGCAAGCACTTAACCAGCTGAGCCACTCACTGCCCAGCAGAATAGTAGTCAGCCGTCGATTTGTCTGGAACTTATCCGTGTGTGGTAGGGAAGATGCTGACTTCTACAGAGCGAGCTAGGTGCCTTTCTATCCAAGAACCGGCTACCTGCCCACTGGAGAGACCACAAGTAAGGCCTGTGTGAGCAGTGGTCTGGGGACACAGGTGGGGGGGGCATCTCTGGCTTGTCCTCCCTGAAGCCACCTCCAAGTGAATCCCTCATGACTATTTCACCACAGCTCTGTCAGCCAGCGAGCCTGGTCAGTACCCCAGCCAGTTTTCCGTACTCTAGCTGTCCTGGCCCTGAGCTGAGGTCTAGGAGGCCTGAGGGTACAGGGGCGCTCTGGTCACACTCAGCGGCAGCTTGCTCAGGTTGTGGGAACACAGCCCATAGCAGGAGGTCAGGAGGAGGTTCCCTGGCACCAGCAGACTTCTGGTCAACCCTCCCCCCCCAGGGACACATGTGGGCTGTCATTCCCTGACCCAGGAGAGACTCACTCCAGGAAGAGGGGCCGGGCCACTGTGTCCCCTCGGACATGGGCTCCATGGAAGAGAGTGTACAGATAGGGCAGAAGGGCATAGCGCAAAATGAAGGCCTTCCTCATGGCCTGCTGTGCGGTCTCGCTGAACCTGTAGGGCTCCTGAGGCTTGCGTGGGCAGAGGGAACAAAGGAGATGATGTTCTAGTTAGCTGTTGACACAAGCCGGCGTCATCTGGGAAAAGGAAACCTCAATCGAGAAAAATTTCTCCGCCATCCTGGCCTGTGGGCGAGTGGGGGGAGGGGGTCATTTTCTCAATGACTGGTGTGGGAGGGGCTCGGTCTACTGTGGGTGGTACCACCTGGGTAGGCGGCCTGGGCTGTATTAAACAGCCCGCCCTGGCTTCCCTTTCATTCATGCTGTTTACCACAGCAGTAAGAAAGGGCACTCAGACAGGAGGTATCTGGGCTCCCAGGCCAGGGCTCAACACAATGTCCACCCCAAGAACCTATGGCTCCTTGGCCACCTGATGTGGGGAAGACGGCACGGTCTGGACTCCTCCAGTAGGTGTGGGGTTAGGCAGGATGGGGTCTTGGCGGGTGGGGTGGGGCCCCCTGCCGCCCTCTCCTACCTTGCTTCTGTAGTCATTGTGATTCCGCATGAAGGGGTAGAAGGCCCCCAGCTGGGTCCATCGTACACACAGCTCCTCAAATGTGTCTCCCAGGAAGCCACAGATGTCTGCCCCAATCAAGGGCACGCCCACCAGGTTGAACTGCAGGATTTCTGAGAGTAAGGAGGCAGAGTGACACCAGGTTACCAAGACGACAACAACTGGACAGTCAGGCCTGCCAGGCAGGTCGGAAGTGACCTCCCCATCCATCAAGAGCCCACGGGCCTCTGTGCTTCCCACTTGGGGTCAGCAACTACTTCCTAATGCCTGGGGCCAGCAGAGCAGACCCAGTGTGAAGATAAGGTCACTTGGGGATGAAGGCGGATGGAGCCTGCAGCAGCACAAAGAGATGCCCAGGAGCCCACAAGCAGAAGGAAGGGTCCACAGGGCTGCGCGGTGGCACCAAGCCACACCTCTGTGCAAAGGGGCGTGGCTCTGCCATTTCTTGGCTGCGGACCCACGGTCCGGGCGCTGTCAGTAGATGGGTTCCTGTTGCATTACTCCCCAAACGTTGTCCTCAGCTATGGCAGCCTCAGGACACTAACAGACAACCCCGGGTGGGCATTCCCGACTGCTCAGGGGTGGGTGGGCTCCTTCTGTTCAGCCCAGAGCCAATGCCCAGTCTCCCTCTGCTGCACTGGCTCTCAGTGTGTCCTGAGAGCCAGGCAGCTGATGGGCAGCCAGGGACCCTGGAGACTCCTCTGAGTCACACCTGACCCTGAAAGCAGCTAGCACTTGGCTCAGTACTAGCTGGCTCAAAGGAGACCCGAGCCCAAAACAGAAGGGAAATGTTGACCCCGGCTCTGCAAGGCAGTTCCGCACCTGGTTCCCGGCCTGCCAGGCCTGTCTGGAGTGAGCTCCAGCCCACAGGGCAGAGGCGGCCAGCTCACCTCGGAGAGCTCAGCTAGCTGGGATCCTTCATAGGTCTGTGGACATATCCTACACAGAAGCCAGTCTTCCGTAAGTCAGAATGTTCTAGACTCACAGTCAAGGCTCTTAGCTGCCCATGTGGTGCCCTGGCTCCTCTCCTTCCCTCGTCTGTTCTCCAGGGCTCCTGACTTCTCTGACCTAATGTGGGTCAATGGCATCAACTTTCTTGGAACAAAAATGGAATTCTTTTTGCAAGTACAGCAGGTGGCTCGGTATCTCAGGAAGGGGGCGCCAGAGAGCAACTGTGAAAGATGAGATTCTGGGACTTTTCAAGCACCCCAGGACACTGAGGAGAAAGGTGACATGGGTGAGCGGGCTTGCACAACTGAGCAGGGGACCAGCAGGCTTCACGAGATGGCAACAGGTCCCCAAATCATCTCAGTGCCCTCTGTGGCGCTGAGCCCAGCACCCAAAGCTTCCCAGAAAGGACCCCAGCACCCTCCAGGCAGTTTGCACTCACCCGGCACAGAGTAAGAAAGGTGCTCCCAGGAGCTCCACATGTCCCCCGTCCAGTGGCCAGCGTATCGGCCATGGCCAGCGAAGGTCGAGCGGGAGATCACGAAGGGTCGTGTTCCCCGGGTCTTCACGAGGGCCCTGAGTGGGATGGGAACAGAGCGCTGGGCTTACCTGGGTAATCCACACCCACTACATGCTGGGACAGGGCGACCGGTTGGGCAGGAGCGTGTAAGCATTGCAGGCCCACGGGTGGTCTGGGTGGCCTCGCTCCCTTCCGTCCATGACCCTGATGGGAGGCAGCTCACCTCAGCCCCCCACTGTGAGGGCTGGGCAGGCTGGTCGGCTGCACGGGGCGAATCCTCACCTGTTGGAGGCGATGGCTTGGGTCAGGCCGTACAGGTTGTGGAGGTTGTAGTGTGTGGAGAGGAACTGGTGACTGGAGGCGCAGATGGTGGCAGCCTGCAAGGCCCCGCCAACCACCCCTAGGTGAGAGGAGGACTAGTTTAGACTGGTTTTTAGACTAGTCTAGACCAGTTTAGACTAGTTTAGACTGGTTTCCTAGTTTCCAGTGGTCCACATACTCTCCTTTGCCCACATCCTCTCTGCTCAGATTGACACCCACTTGGGGTCAGCCCAGGACAGAGCCTCCTGAAGCTGGCCCACTGGCCCCATGATGCTGAGGCTTGTCACTGTACACCTCTACTGCTCCAGGGACAGAGCAGGTGACGCTAAAGATGACCCTCTGCAAACATCCGGCCCCCAAATCCACCTTCTGGTGCTCCATCCCAAGCGTCTGCCCATCTGAGCCCAAACCCTGTCCCCTAAGGCACTGGATACACGTGAGTGTCTGCGGCCTTGGCTGTGTCACTTTGCAACTTCTGAACCACAAAGGGCGCCCCCGGCTCAAGCCACTAACTCCAGCACTGACCTCACTCCAGCACGACAGACGAGTGGGGCTCACCGGGCACATAGGGCGGGTTCTCCAGTTCGTTGTCAGGGCAGCCCCACTGAGAGCCTCTAAGGAAGTTGGACGGTTCGTTCATGTCCTGTAAGAGGCCTAAGATGTAGAACAGGCTTGGACCCCAGGGACTAGGGGTGCACCCAAGGGCGGGGATACACTTACAATCCACATTCCATCGAAGGGCACCTGGGCGTGGAACTCAGAGACCATGTCCTTCCACCAGTCAACGGTCTCAGGGTTGGTGAAATCCGGGAAGACGCTAGATCCCGGCCATACCTGAATGAGAGTCCAGAGGGGAAAGCCAGTCCCGCGTAGATCCCGCCCCGCGGCTCTGTCAGGCCTCAGCCTTGAGTGGAGCAGCAGCCCCTCAAGCCCAACGACAAACAAGCCTCCCCCCCTACAATGCCTAGGGCCTTGGAGGGTTTCCGCCTTTGGGCAGACGAAGCTTTGGAAGAAGTTAAGACAACCCATCGGACACAGCCCCAAAAGCCTGCTGTTCCCACAGCTAGGGACACCTTAGGATGGGGAGGTTGGGACTCAGAACTCCCAGAAGACCCCCAGGGACAAGGGGGACAAGGGAGACCCCCAAGGCCTCATGAAAGGTCTGCTAGGCCCAGCTGCTTATGCCTGGTACCAACCCCCCCACTCTGGAAATCTCTGGTGTCTGCCAGGAGTTGCTGCCACCCCCACTGAGAGCCCCCCATTTCCCCCTGTTCTGCTGGACACGGTGGCTTCTGAATCTGACCCTGTCCCCGACCCCATCCCCCATACTACCTTCCCGATCACTGGCTGCCCAGTCTCGTTGGTGATGAACACGCCCCTCCGAAGGCCCTCGTCATAGGGCCTGTAACTCCCGGCAGGGCCTGAACTGCTGATGGCAGGGTCCTGGGAAAGAAGCGAGCAGTGAGAAGGATTCAGCACAGCCGCTGGGAGAAGAGGAGCGGGAGAGGCAGAGACAGGATGGCCGTCTGGAGAGCTGACTGGGAGCTGGAGGTGGGAATCTTACTCGTGATCCTCCTGACCTCCCAGAGCTCAAGATAACTGTTGACTGTTGGCTTCTTTTATTTTTATTTTTTATTTATTTTTTGGAGGGGGGGGTTCTTTTGTTTTTCTTCTTTATTTCTTTTTGGTTTTTCGAGACAGGGTTTCTCTGTGACTTTGGAGGCTGTCCCGGAACTCTCTCTGTAGACCAGGCTGGCCTCGAACTCACAGAGATCCGCCTGCCTCTGCCTCCCAAGTGCCAGGATTAAAGGTGTGTGCCACAATGTCCAACTTATCATTTTTAGTTGTGTGTGGTAGCTTGAATGTAACTGGCCCCCCAAAATCCCATAATCTCAAAAGGAGTGGCACTATTAGGAGGTGTGGCCTTGTTGGAGTAGGTGTGGCCTTGTTGGAGGAAGTGTGTCACTGTGGGGGCAGGCTTTGAGGTTTCTTATACTTAGGATGTCACTCAGTGAGTCAGTTGAATTCCTGTGGCAAGATGTCGCGTGGCTATTTTTCCTGCACCATGCCTGCATGCATGCCACCATGTTCCCTGTCATGATGGACTAAACCTCTGCCCCTGTGAGCCCACTCAAGTAAATGTTTCCTTTGAGAGAGTTGCCGTGGTCACCGTCTCTTCACAGCGATAGTGAACCCTAACAACAGTAAACCCTAAGACTGTGTGTGTGTGTTGGTGTGTGAGAGGCCAGAACCTGCCAGTCCCCTGGAGCTGAAACTACAGGCAGTTGTGAGCTGACTGACATGGTGCCGGGCCCTGAACTGTCCTCTTCAAGAACAGTGTATTCTGAACCGCTGAGCCATCTTTCCTGGGGCACACGGGTGCTTCCAGCAACCTGGCCAGCAGATACTAAGCCTGCAAACCTCTAGACATTTCCTTCAACATCAAAGACTCAGAGAATGTCCCGGGCAAGCCCTGGGTGGGAGGGAGAAGGCTCGGGGAAGCGGCATTGGCTGCATTCAAATCTGCTTACCACTATCATTATGTACCGCCGGCCGCCCTGGTGGAGCTCTCGCACCATGTCTGGGAAGTCTGCAAAGCCGTCCTGCGTGAAGGTAAAGTCCCTGCGGGCGTCCATGTAGTCCAGGTCATTCCACTGCACATCCTACAGCACGGGATGGGGGCTGAAGCTGAGATCCAGAGTGGACGGGAGGATGCTGGGACTGCCCCGCCCTGACCGCCACTCACCAGGGGGAAGTGCGCTCTGGTCATGTTCTCCACCACCTGGCGGACGGTGGCCGTGGAGGAGTAGCCCCAGCGGCAGAGGTGGAAGCCCAGGCCCCAGTATGGCGGCATGAAGGGGTACCCTACAGGTGAGCGGTGAGAGTGAGCAGGGACTGGGGACAAGGGTCGCGGCGAGGGTCTGAGGTCAGTGGACAGAGGGCAGGCCCTACCTACAACTTCCAGGTACTGCTGCACAACGCTCTTGGGCTCTGGGCCTAGGAACACATACACATCCAAGATCCCACCTGTAGACCTCCAGGTTAGGGCTGGGCTGGGCTGCAGGATCACATCTGGAAGAAAGTGGCTTAGGCTCAGGAACCAGTTCCCCACAGATGAGCCAACCTGCAGCTGTAGCATGTGATGGCGGGGAGATTCCCCACAGGGTGGGGATGGGACAGCTGTTCTGAGCCAACTTAGCAAGGCCTGAAGGATGCAGAGCAGATGAGCCTGGGGAATTCATTCCCCAGGCCTCCTTAGGCAGGGAGGCACGGGCAGGGTGAGGAATCTGCTCTCTGGACTCTCTCCATGTGAGGTCCCTTGAGACAGGCACTCTGGGGCAGGCGGAGCTCTCCCACACACCAAAGGGCGACTAAGAGGCTCCAGTCTGGCGACTCACCCATGGCATTGCTGTTCAGCAGGAAGACACCGTGAGCCAAGCCACCGTCCTCCAGCGCCAGGTAGAAAGGGTGTGACCCGTAGAGGTTGGTCCCTGGCTGGGATGACAAGAGACGGCATCTCGCACCCAGGACCCTCAGCCTGTACACCCCTGCCTTCTGCTCTCATCTCTTTTTTTTTTGTTTTTTGTCTTTTTGTTTTTTACAAGACAGGGTTTCTCTGTATTGTTTTGGAGGCTGTCGGTCCAGCCTGGCCTCAAACTCACAGAGATCCGCCTGCCTCTGCCTCCCGAGTGCTGGGATTAAAGGCGTGCGCCACCACCGCCCGGCCCTGCTCTCATCTCTTACCGAGGGTGGCACGTCCCGGTTCCAGAGGGTGACCCGAGTCCACTCGGTGCTGAGCATGAGCGGGCTCAAGTGCTCAGCGAGCCCTGTGAGGTGCCGGGAGGGCAGTGACGTGGACAGCTGCAGGAACTGGTCAGCAAAGAACAGCGGGGCCACGGTCGTGTTCAGCCTGCGGGGAGACACCAGGCGACCTTGGACCCCAGGCCGCACAAACCCAGGATGACAGGTCCTCCAGTAGGTGGGGAGGGCTGCGGGGCGGCGTCGGGCCACCCCGGGGACAATGGCCGCATGGAGACCAACAACCCTCAACACCCGAAGACAACGGGGAAGCCAGAGCGGGCATGCTCAGAGGGGCCCCGTGTTACCCCAGGTCAGGGGACACAACAGCGCAAATATGAGGTCCTGCCAAGGAGACATGAGCCCTTGAGGGACACAGACACCAAGAGAGGCCGATGGCAGGGACGCTGGACGCTGTCCCCCTGCCAGCCCTTCACCCGGGCCTGTGTTCTTGTAAGTACAGCGATGGCTGCGATTAACACAGTTGCGGAGACAGAATGAGTTAAGAGCAGAGGGCACGGTAGGAGACGGGCATTGGATAAGCACAGCAAGGCCACCAGGCGGGCCACCTGCAGGCGGTGCCACTGTGGACTGGATCAGGGTCCTTTCCTCGTCCCACAGGGCGGGTCGTCCTTCATAGTGGGGGTCACTACACTCGGATCATGTCGGTGCTGGACACTGCGGCTGTAGCGCCGAGGTTGCCTCCACACGCCGCAGCGTATCTCCTGCGAGCATTAGTCCTCACTGGGAAGTCACGGAGGGAACCTTTGAGACCCAGGGTAGAAGCGCCAAGCCAAGGCCTGGGTGAGCATTCAGCGGTGGGCCATGGGTGTGTGCTTGGTGGTCCACAAACAGGGAAGAGGGCTGTGAGGGTTGGGTTTGTCAGCTGGATGCAAGTCAGGGCCATCGAGGGGCTGACTCTCAATTGAGGGAATACTTCCATCAGACTGGCCTGCAGCCAGTCCTGTGGGGGCATTTTCTTCACTGACTGATGGGGAGGACCCAGCACCCTGTGGGTGGTACCACCCCGGGGCTGGTGGTCCTGGGTTGGGTAAGAAAGTAAGCTAAGAAAGCCAGTAAGTGGGGGCTGGAGAGATGGCTCAGAGGTTAAGAGCACTGGCTACTCTTCCAGAGGTCCTGAGTTCAATTCCCAGCAACCACATGGTGGCTCACAACCATCTGTAATGAGATCTGGTGCCCTCTTCTGATGTGTACATGGAGGCAGGATGTTGTATTCGTAATAAATAAATAAATAAATAAATAAATAAATAAATAAATAAATAAATAAATAAAAAAGAAAAGAAAGCCAGTGAGCGCAGTCCCCCATGGCCTCTGTGTGAGCTCCTGTCTCTGGGTCCCTGCCCTGACTTCCGGCCCTGACAGAGTGACCTGGGAGCCGTGAGACAAAGCAAACCCTTTCTTTCCCAGGCTGTTCTCACTCGTGGTGTTTACCAGCACAATGGGAAACCGGCGCGCTAAAGGCAGGGTCAGGTTAACAGAAGAGCCAGGGGTGAGGACGCCGCCGCAAGTTCTGACCCCGAGAGGCCACCATGTCCCTGTCAACCCTGGGTCAAGGTTCCGAGCACCCAACTCACAGCACCCGGCCATCCAGCTTCCTGCGGACAATCACTCCAAAGGGCTCCTCTGAGAATTCCACACTATAGAGTGGGGACGGCGCCCTGCTCAGGACACGAGGGGTCTCCACGGGCACTTCGTAGCGCTTATTAGTGGGGTCTTTGATCTAGGAGAGAAGAGAGAGTGGTACTCAAAGGCCTTCAAGAGCCCGGCGCCCCTCCCCTGATGGCCTCCCTCCCTGCTGTCCCTCACTGCCCCTAGGAGACACAGCTTCAGGGCTGCCCGTCAGTCCAGGCCCCTCCCAGGGCAGCCGCATACCGTGTGTAACCCTTCCTCAGCTATATAACTGGAGGGAAGGGGACCTCCCTTAGGCTGCCAAAGGCAGAACACACACTGAACTTCAGATAAGCAGTAAATGGTTCTCTGTGTGGTTTCCCCCCTTGCTTTTGGTTAATTAATTAAATGCTGGAACTCACTATGAAGCCTAGGCTGGCATTTCACTCACAGAAATCCCCTTGCTACGGCCTCCTAAATGCTGCAATTATAAGCATGGCCACTTTTCACTGCTGGGGATCAAACTCGGGCCCTGAACATGCCAAGGGCATCTCTACCACTAAGCTATGCACCAGGACCCACAAACAGTTCTTAATTTTTTACACACACACACACACACACATGCATGCACACACATGTGGGCATACAACTGTGGAGGTCTAAGGTCTAGGTGCTCGTCTTATCACTCTCCAGCTTGGTTAGGCTGGTGGCCCGTGAGCTCAAGGGATCACCTGGGGCTCCAGGTGTGTCGTGCTTGAACTGCGACACAGGGGCTGGGGATCTGAACCCAGGCCCTGGCTTGTACAGCAAGCACTTTACCCAGTGAGCCGTATCCCCGGCTCCCACAGTTTTTAGCACAATGATGTCCCCAGTATTATATAGTATAAGCCTTTTACTAAACCCACAAAATCACCCTCCACAGAAGCAGGCTGCTGAGGGCACTGTGAGGGCATGGAAGGGACCAGAGCAGATGAAAATCCCTGCTGTCGGCAAGTGGTCAGTACTGCAGCCACCACTGGGGACATCCCATAGAATGGCTGAGGGGTCACCTCCTGAGAGAGGCTCGTCTCCCCATCTGCACCTGCCCACCTCTCCCCACCTGTGCCTGCCTTCCTCTCCCCACCTGCGCCTGCACCTGCCTGCCTCTCCCCACCTGCGCCTGCATCTGCCCGCCTCTCCCCACATATGCCTGCACCTGCCTGCCTCTCCCCACCTGTGCCTGCCTTCCTCTCCCCACCTGCGCCTGCACCTGCCTGCCTCTCCCCACCTGCGCCTGCACCTGCCTGCCTCTCCCCACCTGCACCTGCATCTGCCCGCCTCTCCCCACATATGCCTGCACCTGCCTGCCTCTCCCCACCTGTGCCTGCACCTGCCTTCTAGAGCCTCTATCGTCACTCTCTTCACACCTGGTAACCCAGTAGGGGTCGTCTACACAGTCATACTACACACATCCTGAGAAAAATGTGTCACCTGTCTACACACCTCTTCTCTGCTCCGCCTGGCCCGTCTCCCTGCATGGGGCTGTGTTACCAAAGGCCCTCCCGGGGCCCCAGCTCCATCCAGGGTCTCCCATGCCCACACCCACCATAAAGTGAAGGCGGCTCTCGGTCTCCATCAGCACATCTAGCTGTAAGCTCAGCACATCTTTTGGGAAGAAGGTTGGGCTGGCACGGGTCAGGGTGGCTGTATACCCCATCTCCGTGGAGCTCAAGTTCTCCAGCCGGTAGCTTGGGTAGCTGGGAGGGAAGAAACACCAGGGTTGCCCCGTCAGCCCCTGCCCTGCCGGGACATAGCAACAGCCACGCGCCTCACACTGCTCCTGGGAGATGCCCTTGTCTGGGGCACAGTCAAAGCGGCTGTTGGGGGGCACGTCGCACTGTGTGGGCACCGCCGCGGGCTGGTCAGGGTGCTCCTGGGTGTGCTGGGGCCCTGGCCGGTAACCTTCCCGATGGTGAGGTCTAAAAGCCTTCCGCAGTCCTGGAGAGGACTCAGGAAGATCTTGGGGAAACAGCAGTAAGTCACGGAGCATGAGATGACCCAGAATGACAGCAGACATCAAGGAGATGAGGGCGCAGGCCCCAATGGCGGAGTTGGAGCAGGGTGGCTTCCTCATGTTCTCTGTGATGAAAGCCCGTTGGCCCGGGGCAGTATGAGCAGTCCTGGAGGCCTGAGGAGAGGGGGAGCCTGTGTCAGTGTGGGTAGAGGTCAGAGGTCGTGGGTGCCTCCTCAGAGCGGCGCCCACACAGTGACAGCGGAAGCAGGCAGCCTGAGCATCTCCCCCCACAGCAATGCTGAGGAGGGCGTGGCAGGAGAGGAGACAAAACTCCTCAGGAGCAGGCAGAGGGATTGCTGCAGACACGCCGTGTACAAACAGATGGGAAAGGGAGCCAAGGCAGGACTTTATCCAGAGGCCTTCTGTGTGAGAGAAAAGGGGTGAGCAGGAAGGCTGGGGAGGTCACCAAGTCAAACCCCAAGGAGAGGAAGAAAATGAGTGGGACAAAGAGCCCAGGTCACAGGGTTCTCAGGCTACAACTGGCCACAGAGGAGTGTGAGCCTCCCAGAATGGGGTCCAGGTGGAAGCTTCCTCCCGGACCCCATTTCAGGACATGGTGGGGACAGGGAGGGGCTTTGCTCAGTGGGGGTTACTAAGGCTCTCTGGGTCATGGGACACACTCAAGAGATGGCCGGGCCTGGTTGTAGAAGGGCCAGCTGTGAATTTTCTTTCTTTCTTTCTTTTTTTTTTTTTGGTTTTTACGAGACAGGGTTTCTCTGTATTGTTTTGGAGGCTATCGGTCCAGCCCAGCCTCGAACTCACAGAGATCCGCCTGCCTCTGCCTCCCGAGTGCTGGGATCAAAGGTGTGCGCCACCAACGCCCGGCTCAGCTGTGAATATTCTGACCAGCACTTGGGGTTCACCTGTGGCCACTGGTGAGTCGGGGATCTCCAGGTTGACAGTTAATTTTTTTTACCCATAATACCTGTGACTTTCTTTCTCCTGCTAGTGACTCCCCAGGGTGTGTGTGTGGGGGGGTGAGGGGTGAACCACAACCCAATTCAGTTCTGATCCATCTACAGTCAGAGCAGACTCCTCCAGGGGGGGCCCTACCACTCAAACCGCAGGCTGTCAACAGTACTTCTGATGGGCCGGCTAACAGCCTGGTGGTTCCCAGGACCCCTGCACCAAGTTTGGAACCTGCCAGACCATCTCGCAGAACTCAGAAGAGCGCTTCGCTCACATTTACTGGCTTTTTGTTTGTTTGTTTGTTTTTGTAAGCTGTAACTCAGGAACAGTGGGATAGAAGAAATGGGTTGTGAGCAGGCTGGGAGCAGGTGTGGGATGCTCTCCGAACCCACTTGGTTGTCGTTTTTGAATTAGGGTCTGCAGTATCCCAGGCTTGCCTTAAACTTGCTGCGAAGCCAGGGATAATGCCCCTGGATCCCTGCCACCCCCTCCCACATGCTGCGTTTTCTGGGTAACTCTGGGTAACTGAACCTTCCGTTACGCAGACAGGACTGAGGAAATCGGTAGCCATGGTGAGTAATCGCTAACCTCTGTGGGGGTTGGAATGCCTGGGTGGGCTGCAGTTTCCGGCCCTCCAATCATACCTTGCCTTACAGGTGCCCAGCGGCCATAAAGCTACTAGGGACTAGCAACAGAAAGTAACCACTGGGTGCCCAAAAGCATGAACCGGAGACCTTTTTTTTTTTTTTTTTTTTGGCTCTACTGCAGAGTCTCAGCTCCACCTGGCCCTTCCCGACACATGTGACACTCATGACGCAGCATCCAAGGACAATCAACAGGCTCAGACTCCCCTCGGGCAGCAGCGTGGGAGGCTGCATATTCCAGAACCTTCCAAGGAGCTCCCCCCGGGGGGGGGGGCGCAACACGTATATCAGAACAAAGCCCCAGAAACCAGAAGACAGACAGCTTAGGCTCGTTCTCTCAGCTCCGCGATTTAGAGAAAATAAATAACAAACAAACAAACAAATAAATAAATAAAAATGGGGAAGGAACTAAAAGGTCAGACGTCACAAGCTGATCTGGGGACCCAAGCTTGCTCCCAAGGAAGCTGCTGGGTCCGCAGCGTCACGAGGCGCAGGCAGAGCCCAAACCCAAGCTTTCGGACACGGGGCGCGCGGAGGGGAGGAGGGGCTCTGTCCGTGCCTCAGTTTCCCCCCGCTGCAAGACCTAACACACAGAGCACAGAGCTCTGCCCGCCTAGCCCTGAGGGCACGAACTAGAATCCCGGGCTTTTGCCGGAGCCTGCAAGTGTTACTAAAGTCACTTGCCTGCGGGGTCGGGGGCCGGGGGTCGGGGGCCGGGGGTCGGGGGTCGGGGGTGTCCCACCTATCTCGGTGTCTCTGCTCGATTCTCCCAAACGCGAACTCACTGACAGTCGGCCCCGCCTGCCTGAAGGAGGCCGCTCCTCCGGAGGGAGGCCCTCGGGCCGGCGACAGCCTCCACCAGCAAGCCCAGCTCACCTGCGCAAACACCCTCCTGGCAGCCGAGCCCCCCGGGTGCCCAGCGCGACAGCGCGGGTCATGTGGTCCCCGAGGGCGGGGCTCGCCCGCCGCGGACCATGTGACGCGGCGTCCAGGCGAGCCCGCGCTCTCGCGGCGCCCCCTAGTGGCTGCCGGCGACGCAGCGCGCCGGTGTCCCGGGGCCGGGTGTCTGGGATGATGCTCAACACCCGTACCCGGCAGACCCAGACCCAGACCCAGATCCAGACCCAGATCATCATCTCAAAAGCTTCAGTGGGGGATGAAAACCAGCTCAGGACCCGGAAGTTCCGTCAGCTTGCTCGGTGGAGATCCCTGAGGCTTTTGACGTTAATGGCTATACAATTGGGTGATGGGCGCAGGCAGGCGTGTGATCCCAGCACTCGGGAGACAGAGGCAGGGGGATTGCCAGTTTGATCCCATCATAGGACACACCTGTTGATGTGGCGGGCGGGCAGGCATGTAGCTTAGGGGCAGAGCGCAGGTCTACCGTGTGCCGTGTGCAAGGCCCTGGCTTTCCTGTAGGTGCTGTGATGACTCTTGCAGGAGGGGCTACTATAAGTGCACCTGTGCCCTCTGGCTGTCAGACTTTTGAAACAGTGGACCTCAGGAATTAAATCCAACCCCCGAGTCCCATGCTGAGGGAGGGGGACGTCCTGGAAGGACATGGCACACAGCTTGTTAAACCACAGTGCACCGGACGACTAGTGCCAAGAAGCCAGTGGTGGGCGGGACCTCACCTTGGCGGGGACTGCTTAGCCATACAGACCTCCTGCCCTATGGAGAGCTAAGCCTCACGTCGGGACCCTCAAGGTGGCCCTGGTGTGGTGGGTGGTGGTCCATTATCTGTTCCATTTCCCACTGTGGTCACATTTAATAAACCCCCTTTCTCTGCTTCTCACGGTTGTCTCCTATTGGCTGATGGATGGCAGCTAGTGGAGCCTAGTTTCTTGGGGCTGCCGGACTCCATTTCGGAAAACAAACTCCATAGCAAGCAACCAGTTGATAAACAGCAGACTTCACTTGCAAGCACTGAAGCAGAGGGCCCAGACCCGCAATGGGGTTCGTGTCCCCCCTCCCCCTTCTCTCCGCACCCCCTCCCCCTGCAGAGTGGGTGGGGTGGGCGTGGCTGGGGTCTCCCGGCCTCTTGGTTTATTTTTATATTTCGTTGTTAGGACGAACATGTCTGATTCGTCTGACCAGAAGCAGCTTTCGTAAATTTTATTTCTCTGCTGTAAAGTTTAAAACTGAAATTATTCCATAGGACGGTTTTCTATTTCACATTTATAAGAAGCAAAAAGGCAACTGGTGGCTCAGAAACCCAGGGCGGGGGAGGTAGAATGGAGAGAGAGAGAGAGAGAGAGAGAGAGAGAGAGAGAGAGAGAGAGAGAGAGAGAGAGAGAGAGAGGTGAGAGGGTCAGTTACTGCCTCCGTAGACATTTGCTCCCCCAGGGGGGGATCCTGGGGTCCTTAGCTTTGATCTTTGGGTTTCAATCTATTTCAATGCTTCCTGGGAGGTGGTGGGGGCTGGAGAAGGGCTGAGCTTTCTGTCTGGTGGGGGTGGGGAACCAGAATGAAGGTAGCTTGTGGGGTTCAGATGGGCTGAAGCAGTCTACCTCGTTCCTGGCTCCCTTGGGGGGTCCTCACGCCCATTACTCGCTCCACAGAACCCAGGGCCTGTCCCGGGTCAGTGTGATGGGTATCGGATGCACGGTGGAGCTGCCGGCAGACAGAATGACCTTTACCTGGATGGGTAAGGCCAACAGAAGAGAGCGGCCGGTAATGCTCAGGCAATGCCCCTGCAGGCTGGCATGGTCACCACAGCAGATCAGGGATGCTGCATTACGCTGCTGTGAGCAGCAGGCCGGCTGTGACCCATACAGGTCTGGGTAGTCGTGTTACTTAAGCAGGGTGTCGTTCTAGGGGACGCGTGACTTTTCGGAACACAGTGTGTGTGTGTGTGTGTGTGTGTGTGTGTGTGTGTGTGTGTGTGCGCGTGCGTGCCTGTGTGTGCGTGTGCATGCGTGTGTGTGTGTGTGTGAGTGTGTGTGTGTGTGGCAATTCCCTGGCTCTCCTTCTGGGCAGCCTTGGCACGTGTGGGCCGAGTGCTGTTTAGGAGGGCTCTGGGAACTTCAGCTTGCTGGCGATCTTCTGATGAATCTTTTGTAGCACTTCCTGGAACTGGGGGTAGTCTTCCTGTACTTGGGAGAGGATGGAGTTGAGCTGGGCCAGCCGGATGTCCAGCTTCCTGCGTTCCAGCAGCTGGGTCTTGCTGTTGCGGTATAGGAACACATACTTCCCGTCGACCGCGGCCTGCAGGTTCTTGGCACGCATCTGCAGGGCCACAATCTCCAGAAGGTTCTGGGTGGGGAAGAAGGCCCCCGTGTCAGTGTCCAGGAGTCAGGAGGAAGGACCCCTGTCCTCGGCTTAGACTACAGGGGATGGCAAAGAGGAGAGGTGTTCTTGAGAGGACCCAGCCAACTCTCTGGACTCCAGGGGAAGGGGCCTTGTAACCCTGGGCGGGAGCCTTGCCCACCTACGGGGGAGGTGTTTTGCCTGCTGAGTGGTGCTAGGCGCACTCCTGAGGCCGTGCTGTCCGCTTAGACCCACACCACAGCCAGCCCAGCTGGGACTCCACTGGGGAACTTCTACCTGCAGACTCAGACACTCAGATCACTGGGGAACTTCTAAACTACATGCAGACTCAGACACTCAGATCACTGGGGAACTTCTACCTGCAGACTCAGACACTCAGATCACTAGGGAACTTCTATCTGCAGACTCAGACACTCAGATCACTGGGAAACTTCTAAACTACATGCAGACTCAGACACTCAGATCACTGGGGGAACTTCTAAACTACATGCAGACTCAGACACTCAGATCACTGGGGAACTTCTAAACTACATGCAGACTCAGACACTCAGATCACTAGGGAACTTCTAAACTTCATGCAGACTCAGACACTCAGATCACTGGGGAACTTCTAAACTACATGCATACTCAGACACTCAGATCACTGGGGAACTTCTAAACTACATGCAGACTCAGACACTCAGATCACTAGGGAACTTCTAAACTACATGCAGACTCAGACACTCAGATCACTAGGGAACTTCTACCTGCAGACTCAGACAGACAATGGCAGTCAGGTTTGCTCTTCCCCCTCCAGTCTGCCTTGGATGCTCTGTCCCATGCTGCCCCAGAGCCAGGAGGGATTCCCCGATTGCAGGTCACCCTCAGCCCTACAGTTTTACACTATCTCCCGGGGTCAGGACCCTGCTCCTTCCCAAGGCGTGGTGCAGTCTGGCCTGGCCCCTCTCGGCCAGGCTCCTCCATCTACCTGAATGGCTTCCTGCTCTTCTCACACACAACCCCCAAGCCTCGAAGCACACTCGTTTCTTACATGGCCTTCTTGGATTGCTCCCCTCGAAAATCCAACCTCTTGACTTTACTCGGAGGCCCTGACATCCCAAGAATGTAATCTTCAGTCACAGGGGTTTTGTTTCTGTTCGGCTGCCCAGGCATCCAGAATGGTGCCCAGCCAGTGACAGGTAGAGATCAAAACGTATGGTGTGACCAAGTTCCCAAGGGATGGAAACGTGAGAGACATGAGCAGCTGGTGGCCTCATCACCCGCCGAGGGTGTAGCTGGCCCCGAGGAGGAGATCTTCATGCGGGACTCGGGCTTTCCTGGGGTGCTCACCCCTCTGCCTGGGCGCTTCAGGCCCAGAGACCTCCCGAGAGATTTACCTGCCGTTTGAGAGTTGTGAGCTGGTTGATTTCTCCTTCCAGGACGTCTATGTCACCCTGCATAGCTGACAGGGACTGTTGTCTCTCCTGAAGGGAGCTGCCCAGGAGTTTTTGAGTTTCTTCTAGTTCTGAGATAGTCTTGTTGCACTCTTCTGTGGCCTGGGAGAAGAACAGGACCCCATGGGCTCCCGGCATCCAAGTTGCTTAGCAGATAGATCCCTCCGGCTAAGGGCCAGTCACAGGCCTCAGAACACTTACTCTTGGGGGGGCGGGATGGGGCGGGGGCGTGGGAGGATTCCTGTATTAGTCATGTTTCTATTGCTGTGATTAAAACAGCGTGGTCAAGGAGACTTAGAGAAGGAAGGACTAATCCGGGCTAACGGTTCCAAAGGGATCAGAGCCCGTGACGGCAGGGCCGAGGCGCAGTGCTGGCCAGAGCAGAAAGCTGAGGGCCCGAGCCTTCTAACCACAAACACAAAAAAAAAAAAAAGAGCGTGGAAATAGAAATGGTACACGTCTTTAACCTCTCAAAGCCCGCCGCCACCGACACTTTCTTTAGCAAGGCCGTACCTCCAAAACATCCCCCAAACAGCGCCACCAATTGGGGACCAAGTGGTGAGGAGCCCAAGACTATGGGGATGTCACATTTACACCACCACACTTCCCAAAGAGGAGTCCGGTAGCCACAGACCGTCTAGAATGTGTGGGGTGGGGGTAGTAGCCTGTGAGACACCAGGGCCCTGAGGCCCACGATGCCAGATAGGGAGACTGTGGCTTCCCAGAAGACACGGGGGGAGGCAGTCTGTGGAAGTCTGTGCTCTGAAGGGGCAGGGGGACACGGGGGCCAGGGTCAGCACTGCAGCCTTGAGCCAGGAAGGGAAGAGGCTGTGTGGGAAGTGTAAGGAAGGAAAGGAGGGGGGGGGTGGGGTGGCTGACAGGGGGCGTGGGACTCCTCTGCTGAGCCCCAGTGACGACCTGGCCGTTTCTGGAAGTGTCTGCGGCAGGGTGTTACAATGACAAGGATGACTGTGATCCAATGTCTAGTCTGTTCGCCTTCCTATGTCCCTCAGAGATGAGCGGACGGGCCAGGGTTGGTGGGCCAGGTGATCACTCTGTGTCCTGGTGGCGTGACAAGGTGGGAGCAGGTACCCCTTGGGCCAGCACGTGGGGATGGATGGAGACACGTGGTGACCATGTGCAGTAGGACCCTGGCAATGTGCGTGAGTCCCACAACCGATGCAGACACGCAGCCCGGGCAGGGACGCACGTCTGGAGCATTACTGGGTCTCGGGAGCAGAGGAAGGGGCAGGTCCTACCTTCTGTATGTTCCTGATCTTCTTCTGCAGCTCCTTCTGCTGGAAGTGGAAGTCTGTCCTGGTGACAATCTTCTTGTCCGTCTTGCTCTGCCCTTGGGCCTGGATTGCAATGGTCTCCCTGCGGGCCACAGCCAGCTCCATGTCGTGGATCATCTTCTCCTGCTGCTTCAGCAGCTGCCCGTGCTTGACCTGGGGGGGGGCAAGGCGGGGGTGGGCGGGACACAGCTTAAGTGAGAGTGGCCAGCCACCCTCCCTGGCTTGTCCGCCTTCGACACTGGCCCGCGAAGAGTCAGGGGCATGGAGACAGCACACACCAATGGGACAGTTGCTGGATGTCCCCGTGAGCAGTATAAAGGGATGGTGAGGGCGGGAGGAGAGGGAGGAGAGGAACACGCCAGGTTCAGTGGCAGGTGTGTCGAGAGGGTGGGTAGTATGTCTGGAGATGGGGGTTTGGTCAGCAGTGCCATCGCTAGGTTAACTGCTTGGTGTGACAAGACAGTGACACAGGCAGAGACTGGGTGGGTCTGTGGACAGTGGCTGAGGGCTGTGGTGTGTGTCCATGGACTGTGGGGTGCTGAGGGCTGGGGTGTGTGAGCTTGGACCGTGTGTGTGTGTGTGTGTGTGTGTGTGTGTGTGTGTATGTGTGTGTGTGGTGCAAGAAGTCTTTCTAGATTCACAGGAGCATTTGTAGCTGGACCCCTGGGCCTGCTGGTCAGCCAGGGCAATCTAATCCGTGAGCTCCTGGCCAATGAGAGACCCTGTCTGTTGGGGAAGTCTTATGTCAATAAAGCACTGTTGAGCCAATAGGAATCTAGATAGGTGGGACTAGGAGTCCAGGAGGACTCTGGGAAGGAGAAACACAAGAGAGCAAGATGTAACGCCATGGGGTAGGAAGCCCGGAACTATTCTCCAGTAAGAGAAATACTTAGATTAACAATTATGGGGTAATTACTTAAGTCAGAGCTAGCCAGTAAGAAACAAGCAAGGCCAACAGCTTCATAATTAATATAGCCTCCTGTGTGTTTATTTGGGACTGATGCGGTTCTAGAACCAGGACGGCGGGAAGGCTTCTCTCAAGGAAAAAGCTTCTCTTTACACCTGTCTCAAAGGAAGTGACCAAAGTTCCCAAGGATGTCCTATGACTGCCACCCACACAATACACACACACACACAACACACACACACACACACAGACACAAGCACACACACACAAGCACACACACACACACAAGAGTGCACACATGTATAAACACACGAGTGCTCACACACAGAGACATGAATACACAGACACACGTAAAACAAAATAAAAGGGCAATAAATAAATTTCAACGATTGACCTGTGCAAAAGCGATCTGACAGGCCCCCTTAAAGCTGGCAGGTTACACCTAACCTTTGGTACTCTAGACTCCAGGAGGTGGGGATTGCAACATATTGACTTTTATGTGTCCATTTGATTGGCCTAAGGGCTGCCCAGATAGCTGGGTGTATCTGGGAGAAAGTGGAGAGCAGCATGTTCCTGTGGGCTGTTGGATAGAGTGGACACACCCACCTCCAGTGGGCGTGCCTGGGAAGATGGTGGAAGATGTTGTCCCTCAAGGCTGGGGTGGCGTGCTTTCCATGTTGGAGCTGGTGTGCTGGGCTGGAGCTCACCACCTTCTCAGTCTTTGGATTTGGGCTGGCCGGCATGCGGTACTGGCCCTCCTAGGTCTCCTATGGGCCGCCATTGTGCGCCAAAAAGCACAACATGTACAGGTGTCTTGTTGGGTCTGCCTCTCTGGGGAACCCTCACTGGTTCTGAAAGACTCCACTCAGTGCAGAAGGAGCCAGGAGCAGCAGGGAAAGTGACAAGACAGATCTGGGGGTCACAGGAGGCACAATTCAGCGGGGACTTGGGCACAGAGTCTGCCTCAGGTGGCCACGCCCCCAGGGTAGTGAGAAAGGTTTCTGTGCTAAGCCAGGCAGAGGTGAACAGCCCGATGAACGAGCCTCACTGACCACCAACTTGTCCAACATCAGTTACCAAGCGGCCGCCTGGGGTGGGGGTGGGGGCTGGAGAGACGGTTCAGTTGTTAACGAGCACCTGCTGCTCTTGGGGAGGCCCCGAGTTTGATTTCCCAGCACCCCTGTCAGGAGGTTCACAATTGCCTGTAACTCCATGCAGACACCACTCCCATGCAAATGCACACATACATGTCACAATTACAAACAATAACAACTATGTAGCTCTGTATGTCAGGGACCTCCGGCCATCAAACCAGGTACTGCTGCCTCACGTACTCATAAGAAAAGACCCTCATAGAAAGTATGTGACTTGGGACCACCCTGCTATCTGCCAAATTCCAGAAACAGACCTGTGGCTTATCTAGGGTGTAGGCTTAATAGAAGGTGGATTGTGAAAGATAATGTTAGAGTCTGCAGTTAGGTTTCCAGAGGACACAGGATGCCCTAGCCATCCCACTGACCTTCTGCTCTGCCAGGTTCATCGCAGCTACAGCACATCCCCCATTCCTTCCCCTCCTCCCTTCCTCTATATAAACCCCTTTGGGGGTGAATCAAGTTGTCGCCTTGATCAGACTCTTGTCTTGGCGTCCGTCCTTGTATCCCCTGTCCCCCATCTTTACCCTAGGTGTCCACCAGACCCACGATGAGTGTCCTGTGGGTCGGGACACCGTGGACCAGGCTGGCCTTGAACTCACAGAGATCTGCCTGCCTCTGTCTCCCGAGTGCTGGGATTAAAGGTGTTTGACACTGTGCCTGGCTCAAAACAGTAAGATCTTTCAAAAGAAAGCAAGCCCAGAGCTAGAGAGATGGCTCAGAGGTTAAGAGCACTGACTGTTCTTCCAGAGGTCCTGAGTTCAATTCCCGGCAACCACATGGTGGCTCACAGCCACCTTGAATGAGATCTGGTGCCCTCTTCTGGCCTGCAGGCAGAAGTCTGTATATACAATAAATAAATAAGATATAAAAAAGAAAAAAGAAAGCAAGCCCATGTGTCAATGCCTCATCATGACACACCATGCCCAGTTGGTGGGCTCGACGGCTTTGTGCTATGGATTTGGAACCTTGCCAGCCTCACCCGGTAGGCAAGGCGGCAGTTATGACTGGCACGGCCTTGGCTATGTCAGGCTGGGTCCCAGCAACCGTCAACCAGGAACCACATAGGTCACAGCTGAGGTGGCCCACCTGCTGCCTGTCACAACCGAGGCTGGGGTCACATCTGTGCATGCTGGCTTTGTGGGGGTGGGGGAAGCCAAGCCAACTGCACGTGTTGAGGGGAGGCCAGTGACCCCCCCCCCCGTGTGACTGACATAGCAGTATGGCGTACAGGGATGCTGGTGGCAGGGCGAGGAGGAGACCCTCAGCTTTCCCCCTCTCTGCCTCCACCTTCCTAGTGCTGGGATCACAGATGTGCGTCTAGTCTGCCTGTGCTTTGAAAATTCACTTAAATTGAGTGTGTGTATGTATATGTGTATATGTATATGTGTGTGATATGTGTATATATATATGGTATATGTGTGTGTATATAGTATATGAGTGTGTATGCATGATATGGTATATGTGTATGTATGATATATACAAGGCTTGCACAACAAAAGCCATCTTACTATTCCTACTGTATTCTTAGAGACTGACACTTAGTTAAGTTTCTGTTTCTCTGTGCCTGCTTATCTTCCTGTACAGCACATTTTCAAGACCTGCAGTCCAGGCTCTCCCATCCTTCTGCCACCTGGCCTGCACTCCAGACTCCCCCAGCTGCAGACTCGTGTCCTGGGAACACACCCTGCCAAGGAGAACTTCGGCCCCCCGCCCTTCTGCTACCTGCCCTACTTAAGCCCCGTTGGTACTTTCAATAAACAAGGCTTGATCAGAATACTGTCTTGTCTCTGTCTCTTGTCCCCCCCCCCATTCTCCCTCCCTCCCCTAGGGTCCCCGTTGACTGACCCGGCTGGCCAGGGCATGTATGTATGTATGTATGTATGTATATGTATATATATATATAAGTATATATATATATTTTTTAAAGCAGGGTCTCACTCTATAGTTGAGGCTGGTCTTGAACTTGACTCCTGGATGCTGGGATGGATTGCAGGCATATTATTGTGGTACTTGGCTTTATATTTTATTTTATGGATGCTGGGTGTATTAGTTACTTATCTTCTTGTTGTGACAAAATAACCCAGACAAAAAGAATTTAAGAAAGGAAGGGGCTATTCTGGCTTGCAGTTTTTTTTTCCAGACAGATTTTCTCTTGGTAACAGCCCTACCTGTCCTGGAACTTGTTCTATAGACCAGGCTGGCTTTGAACTCACAGAGATCCGCCTGCCACTGCCTCCTGAGTGCTGGGATTAAAGGTGTGCACTACTGCCACCACCAGGCCTGGTTTACAGTTCTAAGTGGTGCAGTCCACCGTGGCCGGGAAGGGGGCGGGGGCTTTAGCCGACTGGTCAACCTGCATCCACAGCCAGCAATGAGTGCTGTTGCTCCGCTCCATTCTCCTTTACTGAGTCCGGGACTATGGTCCTCACAGAGTGGGGCTCTCAGTCAGGTGGCTCTTGCCACTTCAGTTAGCCTAATCCAGATTAACCCCTCACATGCTAAGCTAATCTAGTTGACAGCTCACAGGGTGTCCAGACGTTGTCCTCTGGGCGACTGTAGATCTGGTCAGGTTGACAATCAGTCATGCTGTAGATCAAATCCTGGGCCTTGAACACGGCAAGCTCCATGCCAGTCCGGCTCATGCCTGAGAGCTTAGAGTAGCCAACAGCCTGAGGCCGTTGCATAGTAAGTGCAATTGGAAAAGCCATGTCACTGTGGTTAGCTGATCTAACTTGACATCTTACTTCCCGTGCATGGGCGTCCTGACTGCATGTATGTCTGTGCACAACGTGGACACCTGGTGGCTGGGAAGGTCAGGAGAGAACATGTGGTCCCTGGGACTGGAGTGACGGATAACTGGGAGCCGACACATGGGTGCTGGGAATCAAACCTGGGACCTCTAAGAGCTCATAACCTCTGAGTCATCTCTCTAGCCCCTAACTGCTCTAATTTTTATCCCCTAAGGTCTTGAACCTTAAGTGGATGGTCACTTGTGACTTAGTTGTTCTTACAGTCCGTGAAGCCCACTGCTCGTGAGAGATGGGGTGAGGTGCCCCCGGGCCTCCTTTTCCATGAGTTGTCTTTTGTTAGGCTCTTGCTTTATTTTGTTTTTAATTCATTTATGACATATACAGCATTTTGCTTACATGCCAGAAAGAGGGCACCAGATTTAATTGTAGATGGTTGTGAGCCACCATGTGGGTGCTGGGAATTGAACTCAGGTCCTCTGGAAGAGCAGCCAGTGCTCTTAACCTCTGAGCCATCTCTCCAGCCCCTAGACTCTAGCCTTTTGAGACGGGGTCTTGCTATGTCACCCTAGCTAGCCTGGGACTTGCTGTGTACACACCAGGCTGGCCTCAGACTGCTGGGGATTAAAGATGTGCCCACGCGAGGTTCTTCTTGTTCCACAGTGAGATCCGTGGGCTGGGAAACTGGGCTTTACAACCAGTGTTTGCCAATTCCGGAGGGGCCTTGGCGCATACAACCACAAGTCCTGGCTGCTGTGGTCACACAGCACAGACATAAGTCTGCACAGCACAGACATAAGTCAGGCAGACCCTGGTGTGAGAGGCCGGTGACGACCGATGCAGAGCCTGCAGCCGTGTTTGCTAGAATGCGGCCACTGCGCGGCAATGATGGGTCCTTCCCAGGAGGAATCTCACCTGCTGCCCGTGGCAGGACGGCCTGGTGGTTACGGATCTGCAGCCTAGCTGCACCTGTGGTGCCCGCAGCCCTGACCCACTCACTCACCTTCATCCTGTGGATCTCGGCCTTCATGGCGTGGATCTCTGTCTGCCCGGTCTCAGAATCCACCGCGGCGCGCATCTCCTTCGCCAGTTGGATTTTTTTCTCCCAGAGCATGATCTGGTGTCTTCAGAGGCAGGAGAGGCGGAGTCAGAGCCAGAGCCAGAGCCAGAGCAGTTTGAACCGGGGTGGCAGGGACCCCGCCCCTCTTGCCCAGGGGTGTGGCAAGTGAAGCCCGAAAATCTTTACTCAGCTTCCTGACCAAACAGTTTGCCAGGTCTTGAGACAGACAGACCTCTGCATGTGGGCTGGCGGGGAGGAGAGGAAAAAAGAGGGGAGGGAGAGGAGGGGAGGGGAAGAATTAAAGGAGGGAAGAGGTGAGAGGCTGGGGCTGGTAGCTAAGAACGCTGGCTGCCCTGGCAGAGGGTGTGGGTTCAGTTGCCAGCGGCCCTGTGGTGGTTTGCTCCTTACTGTAACTCTAGTTTTAGAGGCACCCGAGGTGGGCGGGGGAGAGGCAGAGGGGAGAAATGTAACTTAGGAACTGAGAATGTACACGTGATCGGTAAAAGTCGGATAAGGAAGTAAAAGGCCAAACAGCTTTATGGGAGAAAACTGTCCAAATGTAACCCAAAACACATCCCCAAAGCCACTGGTGTGGTGGTGGTGTGTGTGTGTGTGTGTGTGCGCGCGCGCGCGCGCGCGTACGTGTGTGTGTATTAATGCACAGAATCTGTCAAATGTGTGTGTGCGTGAATGCACAGATCTTGCCAAATGGCACCAAACACATTATCCCTTCTAGAGCACTCCTGTCAATCAAGGGGCACCCTCATGGTGCTCACAAACTGTGTCCACAGGAGAGGTATATGTGTGTGCAAAGACATCATAACACACTTAAAACTGCCTCAGAGAGAGTGGTCTCGCTGCAAACGAAACAAGAAAGAAATCTAGCTATACAATGGTCTCTTGTGTTGAGTGTAGTGGTCTCTTGTGATGAGTGCTGAGGGCCGGGGGTGGGGCTCAGTGGTAGAGCACTTGTCGGGCATGTGCAAGACACACACACACACACACACACACACACACACGCATGCACACACACACGCACACATGCACGCAGGCTCAGACATGCATGAGCAGAGGTGATATTACATGATTACATGGTTTCCCTTTTCCAACAGTTTAACGTGTGTATGGGGGTGGGATGCACCTGTGTACACACAGAAGCCAGAGGACACCTGGTCTCCTGCTGCTGCTCTCCACGTAGTCTCGGGACACGGTCTCTCGCGGAGCCTAGAGTTAGACCAAGCTCCATCATGCTGGCCTTATGGGCACACTTGGCCATGCCTGGATGTTTACGTGGGTGCTGGAGATTGGAACTCAGGTCCCCATGCTTGCACAGCAAGCACCCTCATCCACTGAGACATCTCCCTGTTTTTGCTTTTTTTTTCTTTGCTGCTCTCAATATTTTGTCATAGTGTAAAATGTTTGGGGTTGGGTTTATACGTTACTACCTTTTTCATAAAAAAAAATAAGATACATTTTATAAACTTTATCCCAAAGAGAACCACTGGATACCCAGAGGTAACTGGCCTGGCTGGTGGTTACCCGCAAGGGTAGCCTACAGAGCTCCACGGTGGCTTTCTGTGGTTCTTTTGGGGTCCACAAAGGTGGCCCGCAGAGCCATGCCCCAGTAGTGACCTTTAGAGCCGGCCAGCACACGGCTGAGCCCCTACTCACTCGGCCTCCACCAGGCTGTTGAGGAGGGTGGTCTTTTCCTCACCGAGCTGTGTCAGCTTTTCCTGCATTTGGATAGTCTCTCGCTCTGCATCCTGTGGGGACCGGGGACAGCTGTGTGAGGAAGCTTCAGGGCAGTGGCCCCTGGAGTCCCTTCGGGACTGGCAAGACCTTAGACCAGCAGTCTGGTTCCCTCCACAAGCCCCTCCAGGGAATCTGCCCGAATTGAGGCTGGCTCTGCGCCACGCCCTGCCGGGCCCTGCCGGTGACGGAGGGTGCGTTGGTGGGTGGCACCAACCTTCAGTGTGCGCACAAACTCCGTCTCGACCAGCAGGGTGCTCTGCTGCAGCTGCTCCGAGTTGCACCGGCTCTTGTCCATCAGCGTGTTGAGCTTGGTCAGGTCGTTGCCCAGCTCCTTCATGTGGCGGCTCATCTCCTTTTGCTCTCTCTTCTCTTGTTCAATTTTGTCTGCGGGAGGACCGGCAGGCGGGGGGGGGGGGATGCTGGAGGGTCGGGGGTCCTAGGCAGGCAGTAGCCATAGATAGCCTCCCAAGAGTTTCACAGACCTCTGAGCCCCCTCCAGGAAGGAGTGTTTTGTTCCCGTTATCCCCCCACGGACCTCAGGAGCGCAGGTAAATAGCACCAGCATACTAGATGCCTTTAGGGTTTTCCTGGTTTGCTTTGTTTTCCTATTTGGTTTTTTTTTTGTTTGTTTGTTGGTTGGTTGGTTGGTTTTTTGAAGCAGGATCCTACTGTGTAGCCCAGGCTAGCCTCAGACTCACAGCCCTCAGCGCCCTGAGTGCTGGGATTGCGGGTGTGTGTGGCTATGTGGCTGGGAGGGAACCGCCTCCCAGGGCGCAGCCCTCCCCCTCCCCCTTCCCCGGGGTGGGGGGGCTCACTCTCTATGCGGAGCTTCTTTTGCTCCATGATGTGCATCTCCTTCTTGAGTTGGTCCAGGGACACCAGCTGTTCCTCCCGTTCGTGTGTGACCTGGACCAGTTCCTGCTGCAGTCGCAGCCAGGTCACCTGCGCCTCTGCCACGCCCAAGTTGTTCTCTTCTGTCAGCTTGGACAGCCTCTTGATCTCCAGCTCCAGGGGACCGACTTCTTCCCCCTGGAGGGATTTAATGGGAGTGCAGGGTGAGCCTCGGGATCCACAGGTTTGCTTTTTGTTTATTATTTATGCGCCGTGTGTGTACATGTATGTGTGCATGTGTGTGTGTGTATGTGTGTGTATGAGTGTGTGGGAGCCAGTGCGTGCTTGTGCGTGAGTGCCTGAGTGTGAGCACGTGCATGAGTGTGTGTGACTGCACGCACAAGTGTGTATGAGTGTGTGCGTGTGCGTGAGTGCATGTGTGTGCACGCGAGCGTGTGTGCATGAGGTTGTGCGTGCTTGTGTGTGAGTGGGTGACTGCATGCGTGTGAGTATGTATGCGTGTGCATGTGCGTGTGTGTGCGCGTGCATGCGCGTGCGTGGCCACAGAGGTGAGAGTGCCACATTGAGTGTTATTTTGTTCAGACAGGGTCTCTCGGTGTGTGTGTGTGCAGGCGCCCGGGTGTGTTTTTACTGTGGGTGCTGGGGTGGAGGCCCCAGATCCTTATGATCACCAAGCGAGCACTTTGCCGACTGAGTCAGCTCCTTCTTTTGGGGTGGCTTAGGGAGAATCACGAATTCAAGGCATTTACTCCAAGGGTTCTGACAGCCCTCGGGAGGCCTGAGAATCCTTATCTTTCACTGGCTTTGAGGTTCCAGGTCCTCGTGGGCACAGCCTTTGACTGGCAAGGAGACCCTGCATCCTGTCCCTCTGACCTCAGACCATCAAGGTCGGCGGCCAGCACAGGGCTCCCGGGACCCCTTGCTCTAGTTGAGGACTTGAAGCCCAGGGTGGGTGCTCAGGTTACAGGTGCCTGAGTAACAGGTGCGACACGGAGCCCTCAGATTGATGAAACCACTTTGCCTAGCACAGCAGTGAACCAGTCCAGCCCACCGGTGTCTGTGTGGCTCACAAGCCACGGAGAAAAATCAAAAGGAGCCAGGTGGGCAGCCCCCAGCCCCCAGAAGCTGAGGCTTCGGCACCTCAAGGCCTAGGTCCACCCCTGGGCCACACAGCAACAACAAAGTCAAAGGAAGGCTCATGCCAGATGTGAATGGAATGGAATTCAGCTCCGGGTTACGGAGGTGGGGAGCGCCCTTGCCACCCAGCCCGGCCTAGTGTCGCACACATAGCCGCTTCACTAGCGGTCTGGGGAGAGGTAGGGAGGGGCGCCTGCTGTCTGCGAGCCCCACGGCGCACGGGAGCCCAGGGCGCGTGTGCGCATGCGCGGCGAGCTCGCGCGCAGCACCTCACCCCCAGCACGGACACCATCTGCTCCAGCTGCTTGTTGAAGAAGTTGATGAGGCTCTGCTTCCTCTCGATGAGGATGGTGCGGCGGGCGATCTCGCTCTCGCTGTTGGTGATGAGGTCGTTGAGCCGCTTCACCTCCTTGTCCATCTCCGCCAGAGTCTTCTTATGCATGTCTACCTTGCAGCTGGTGTTGGTGATGTCCAGGGTGGCCTGAGCGATGTCGCCGTCAAGTTTTGAAAGATGTGTCACCTGAGGGCATGGAGGGCGACAGGTGTGAGTGGGGCTGCTGTTCCCTTGGCACGCCTAGAGTGTGTTCCGGAGCGATCCCTGCATGCCGTCATGGGGAAGCTAACTGGGAGATGAGAGGAAGGGAAAAGCAAGCTATCCGTGCTGGATTTTCTTTATAAACAAGCAGAGCATAAGTGCAGAGGGGAAAGTGTTGCATCATGGGTGATTCTGTCACAAAGCTAGCCACCAGACCACCTGGAAGCCTTCCTCCAGTGTTACGTAACCCACCCATGCCTCCCACCATCCCACGCCCCTTAGGAGAGCAGGGGTGGGGGCCACATGCCACTGATCTCTTTAGTCTGACAGATACGGTCTCATTCTTTTTATCCTTAAAGATTTATTTATTGTGTACACAGTGTTCTGTCTGCATACTGGAAGAGGGCACCAGGTCTCATTACGGATGGTTGTGAGCCACCATGTGGTTGCTGGGAATTGAACTCAGGACCTCTGGGAGAGCAGTCAGTAGCTCTTAACCTCTGAGCCCCTGCCTCATATTCTTATGTAATTAAAAAAATTTTCTAAATAAGGTTTCACTGTATACTGCTGGTTTGCCTCAAACTCACAGAGATCCATTTGCCTCTGTCTCCCAGGTGCGGAGAGTAACCGTGTGTGTGTGTGTGTGTGTGTGTGTGTGTGTGTGTGTGTGTGTGAGAGAGAGAGAGAGAGAGAGAGAGAGAGAGAGAGAGAGAGAGAGAGAGAGAGAGAGAGAGAGATTGCCTCTGGCCTCTCTTACATCATTTTTAATGGCTGTGCAATGTGCAGTGGGACGTTTCCTGACCCCTTTCAGATCATGACATAGTCTTCCACACCACTACCCTCTGTAACCAGTGGAAAGCATCCTGATCTCCCTGGGACCCTGGGACCTGGATATCCTGCATTGATACCCGTCTCCCTCTTCCCGCTGCACCAGCCCCAGACAGAATGGTGACCGCCAACCTCTGACCCTCTTCCTGCCCCAGCTGTCACTGGTGCACGGGGCTTTTGAGTACACAGTGTCCCCCTTGCAAGGGCTCGCCTTCAGTTGGAAAAAACCCACAGTAATGAAGTTGTTAGCCTAAGACTCTCTACTGCCCTCTGCTGGGAAAAGGCGGTGATAGTGCATGGTGGGGACCAGGCAACAGGAGACCTTCGGGGGATAGGTCTAGCCTGGGCAACTATGGGGCCAGGCAGGCTCCTTCACACTCACCACACTCCTTAGTGTCTCGAAAGCACCCGGAACACCTTGTCTTTCTGCCTGCCCTGCTCCCAGGGAAAGGACCTGAGCTACGTCGGCCTGGACATTCCAAGGAGAGCCAGTTGGGCTGTCATTAGCTGCCGCCAGCTGTGTCTCCTTCCCTGCACAGTCAGGTCAAAAGTGTGTGTGGAGTGGGAGTGTCAAGGCCGCCATCTTTTCAGGGGGCCCGGTGACAACGGCCGTGCCGACTCCTGTCAAGTGGCCACAGTGACGGGACGCGGCAGTGGTGGCAGGTTCGGTCCTCTGCCACCCTCAAGGAGACAGGAGAGACAGCTGAGCCCACAGGGCCCGAGGCTGGGCCCAAGGCCCTGGTCAGATGGAGGGCCAGGTTCTCAAGGGAGCTGGATTCAGGTGTTAACTGCGGAGACGCCCCTGTCTAAGCCTGGGTGGGCCCCCATGTTCCCCATCCTCAGCCTGACACAGGCTGCAGCGCTCCCCGGGGGCCACCAGAGACAGAGGTCTATGGTCCCTACCATACGAAGAAGCAAAGGGGGAAAAAAATGAGCAGGGACGGGGGCTCGAGCACAATCCCAGCATTCGAGAAGCAGAGGCATGTGGATAGCCATGGTTTTGATGCCGGCATGTACGACACAGTGAATCTCAGGACAGTCTCAGCTACAGGTTGAGACACAGTCTCAAGAACCACAACAACAGAAACCCAAACAACAAACAAACAAACAAAAACAAAAGACCAAAAAAAAAAAAGAGAGAGAGAGAGAGAGAAATATTCAAGCAGTGAGTTGCTTTTCCAAAGGCAGTCTCCCACGTAGCTGAGGAAAAAGCAAAGCCCTTGAGTGAATTTTCGGGTGTGCAGTGCCCCAGGCTTTGGAGGTTAAAGGCAACTCTGCAGGCCTCCAGGGCAAGCCAGCCTCCTGGGTGGTGGCTCCCGCCCTGGGACTGGTGGCTTAGCAGCTTGTTCTCAGAGTGTAGACATTTGCAGACCCCCGGTATCTGCTCAAATCACCGAAAACCCCGAGTCAGCCTGGAGCCGCTAACAAGAGACCCGTCAGTCAGAGCGGGACAGTCTGGTGGTGAAGGTCATGCAAGGATGAAGGTTTGCGTTGTGGAGGAATGGGTGACTGCAAGGGCAAGTGTGTTGGATGTTGCAGAGTAAAACGAAAAGCAGAACAATCCAGTGAGTCCCAAACAATGCCTGTGAGCATTCCTCTCTGTGTCAGTTTAATGCCGCTAATAAAAACGTGACCAAGAGAACCTAAAACCAGATGTCTAACAAGAGTGCAATGTTAGCATGAGGGTGTGAATGAGGGTGTGTGTGTGTGTGTGTGTGTGTGTGTGTGTGTGTGTGTGTGTGTGTAAATGCTTGCAGCAGGGAAGCCATCGAGGAGCGTTTTCCTGGACGGGAGGACTACAGCATCTATTGTTTTCATTATGTCTTCTTGAGTTCTCTTCCTCCTTCCTCCCTGACCCCTGGTGCTAGAGAGACAGAGCCCAGGGCCTCATGCATGCTAGGCAAACTCTCCAGGTTTTCAACAATAAGACAGTACCAGCTGGATCTGCCATGCCAGCTACTCAAGAGACTAAGGCATGACAATCACAAGTTTGAGCCTAGCCTGGGCTACAGAATAAGTTCGGGTCAGCCTAGGCAACTAGTGAGACCCTGCCTCAAAATAAGAGGAGGGCTTGGGGAACTGGGGCGGGACACAGCCCACTGCTCAGAGCCCTGCATTCCATCCCCAGGCCCCAATAAACTGGGCATGGTGGCATGGGCAGGAGGGTCAGAAATTCAAGGTTATATATACATATATGTGTGTGTGCGCACGCACACACACACACACACACACACACCCCTTGCCTTAAAGAAGGAGCACAAAGAAGACTAAGGGCTTTTCAGGGGCGTGGCACTTGCCTGGCATTTGCAGGATCCTAGGTTCAATCTCTAGCACTACAGAAACTAAATTAATTGAAATATATTAGGCTGGGCGTTGGTGGCGCACGCCTTTAATCCCAGCACTTGGGAGGCAGAGGCAGGCGGATCTCTGTGAGTTCGAGGCCAGCCTGGTCTACAAGAGCTAGTTCCAGGACAGCCTCCAAAGCCACAGAGAAACCCTGTCTCGAAAAACCAAAAAATATATATATATATTATAGGGTTGGGTTTGGTGGCCCACATTTTGATCCTGGCACTTGGGAGGCAGAGACAGGCAGACCTCTCTGAGTTTAAAGGCCAGCTTGGTCTACATACCAAGTACAGGGACAACCGGGACCACACAGAGAGACCCTGCCTCCAAAGGAGCAAAAATAAATGAGTATATTATAGAAAACATTGCTTTGTCAGCTAGAAACAAAGTCACAAGGGACCGCCCCTAGATACCTTTTGCTCACACGCCCCTGGCTCCAACCCAGCCCCTGCCCGGTCAGCTGGGGGCCACCTACCAGGTTGGTATTTTCCTTCTGCAGCTTCCGAAGGAGCTGTTGGAAGTACTTGGTCATCTTGCTGGAGGTCCCATGTTCCTGCAGCTTGTCCAGGATGGAGGCATCCATCTTTTGCCGTAGCTCCTGCTCTTGACGGACAGCCTGGCGGGTGTCCTGGAGTTCGTTCGTGACCGCTGAGCGTTCCTGCAAAGGAACAGCCATGGGAGGGACGTGCCCGGGACTGTCCTCCTATGGGCTGGCTGAGAGCAGAGGCCTGGGGTTGGGGGGGCCGTGCCTCACCAGATAGCCCTTGTTGAGCATTTCTTCGGTGTCCTGCAGGGCGAGCTGGTAGGTGTTGAACTCGCTCTGCAGGGCCTCTTGCTTGCTTAAGCACTGGGTGGTCATTTTCTGCACCAGCATGGCTTCTGTCTCTGAGCGGTTCAGGAGGCTGGCCAGCTTCTCGTTCTTCTCTTCCTCCTTCATGATGGACTTTTTATAGGCTTCGATCTCACCGTCTATGGACTTGACCTGATGCTCACACTCCCTGCAAAACCAGAAGAGCAAAAAGCCCATCCGTCACAGGCTAGACACCGGAGTGGATTCCACACACGGAGAAATAATTTTGGGCACCAGCTCCTAACTGCTACTTGTGTGTGTGTGTGTGTGTGTGTGTGTGTGTGTGTGTGTGTGTGTGTGCGCGCGCGCTTTTCTGTTGCTGCGATGAAACACTGGCCAAAAGCACCTTGGGGAGGACAGGGCTTGTTTGTCTCATGTGTCACAATCCGTTATCAAGGGAACTCAAGCTGGGAAACCGGAGGCAGGAACTGGAGCAGAGGACACGCAGTAACGTTGCTCTCCGGCTCCCGACCCAGGACCACCTGTGCGGGTGTGGCAAGGTCTACAGTGCATCAGCCCCGCCCACATCAGTAGTTACCCAGGAAATGACACGCCCAGGAGCCAATCAGATTCAGATGGAAGCAAAGCCTCAGCTGTGGTTCTCGGGTATCTCTAGTCTGTGAAGTCCACGAAACCCAGCTGGTTCGGTGTGTTTGTGCACACATGTGGATGGATGTCTTCCTCATCCCTCTCCACCCCATTTTTTTTAGTGCATTACTTACTTATTGTGTGTGTGTGTGTGCCCGTGCATGTGTGTCATGACACATGTGTGGAGGTCAGAGGGCAGTGTGTCTTTTCGCATTGAACCATGCCTGTGGCCTAAACGTGTGGCCTAGGCTGGTCTCAACCTTGTGGTCCTTCTGCCTCTGTTTCTAGGATATGCAAGCAGCATTTGCCGCTACAACTGGCTTGTTTATTTTTGATTAAAAGTTAGAAGGAGCCTCATTAGCGCAGTAGGTAGTGCATCAGTTTCATAATCTGAAGGTCGTGAGTTTGATCCTCACACGGGGCACCCTGCATTACTTTGCCGGGCGTTGGTGGCTCACGCCTTTAATCCCAGCACTCGGGAGGCAGAGGCAGGCGGATCTCTGTGAGTTCGAGGCCAGCCTGGTCTACAGAGCAAGTTTCAGGACAGCCTCCAAAACAATACAGAGAAACCCTGTCTCGAAAAACCAAAAAAAAAAAAAAAAAAAAAAAAAAAAAAAGAGAGCTAAGGATGAAACCCAGTGTAGGGCACTTGTTATGCAGGATGTGCTGGGCTCCATGACCAGAGCCACTAAACAAACAATTTCCCCAACACACAAATTCTAGATTAACAGGAGTTTGTGTGTGTGTGTGTTTTTTCTTTTTTTAAATTTGTGTGTGGAGATTCCTCCCCTCTCATCCTGAGAAGTCTCCTGGCAGTATCTTATCTTTCTTTTTAAACAAGAATGTTAACAGTCCCACTACATAGCCCTGGCTGGTCTGGAGCTATGTGTGGACGAGGCTGACTTTGAACTCACCACCATGCCTGGCCAGACAGCCTTTAAATCTCCCGGATGCCCACCCGGCTCCTCTGCAGCTACAGGGAGCCACCAGTGTCCTGCCAGGCAGGCTCACACTATCTCATTTGTTGGTGTCATTTTTGGAAACAGATCCTCAGTATGATGCTCAGCTTAGCCTTAAACTCCTGGGGCCAAGTGGTCCTCTCGGAAGGTGACCTCCTGCTCCTGGGGCCTTGGTGTCAGCTGCAGATAGAGGCAGAGGCCCATTTACTGGTTGCACGGGCAAGTGTGCACACACGCTGCTAAAATCTCCACTGGAAATCCTGTGAGTGCATATTTTAAGATGTGGGGTATCGGCAGGGCGTTGGTGGCGCACACCTTTAACCCCAGCACTCAGGATGCAGAGGCAGGTGGCTCTCTGTGAGTTCAAGGCCAGCATTGGCCTACAGAGAAAGTTCCAGGACAGCCAGAACTACAGAGGGGGACTGTCTCAAAAACAAGCAAACAAAACCACAAAGTACAAGATACTTTCCCCACAGTCTAACTAATGTGATCCTGACAGGTGAGACTATGGAAGGAGTCGGGGACTTTGAGACGCCTCTGGGTGTTGTGTGACTGTCACCGTCCTCTTTGGCTCTGCCGACAGGTGCGTGTTCTGGCTTGAAGAATGATAAGGAAAAGCTGCACAGCATCTAGCTGTCAGGACAGACCCAGGCTCAGCCTGTACAGCCATGGGGTGTGGCCACAAAAACCAGGAAAAAAATGGATATTTAAAATCCAGTATTACCCACATAAAGGCGTCTTACGTTTTTTGTTAGTTTGTTTTTAGGTGAGCACTCATATATACCTCAGCCTTTTTTTTTTTTTTTTTTTTTTTTTTTTTTGTTCCCAATGCAGGGATTAGAACCTAGTGTGCTAGGCAGGCCATCTACACTAAACTGCACTTCTGGTCTTAATTTGTGTAGCCCTGGCTGTCCTAGAACTCGCTCTGTAGACCAGGCTGGCCTTTGCCTCCTGAGTGCTGGGATTAAAGGTGTGTGCCATCACCGCCTGGCACCCCCTGGTCTTTATAGAGTTACAGGAGGTTATGTATGAGCTGCCTGACGAGTTACTGGAAGCAAAACATGCTCTCTTAACTTCTGAGCCATCTTTCCAGCACTCAGCACCTAGGAGACCAGCAGCAGCCGCTCTTTTCCGTCAGGGCTCAAGCCTCTGTGGGTGCTAAGCTCGGGACGACCAGCCAAGGAGCCCAGGCATGAGCCACCTGCGGAACCAAATTCCCGTCACTTGGGTGGCTCTGGTTATCACGGCAGTGAGGAGCGTCTCCCGCCCAAGTGCCACCCTTCCCTTCCCTTTCAAGGGAATCAAAACAGGGTTCTGGCTGGGACGCAGCCCTAGGGCAGAACAATCCGGAATAGCTGGGGAAGGGCTGGGTTTCTCCGCTCAGATGCTGAAACGGCTGTCAAAGGGACACCTTTGTCCCCCACAGATAAATGTCTCCTTTTGACATCCTGCCTGGATGTCCCAAGCGCCCCAGCACTGAAGGACGGAGCCGGGCAAGCAGGGCCCTTCCTGGTGCACCTGTGTGGCGTGGTTACCCCTCCCACCCCGGACACACCCGCCCCCCCAGTGTCCCCCGTGGGGCAGCCCCTCCCGGGGCGGGGGCGGGGGCGGGGGGCGGTACCGGTACCTGAGAGCATCCAGCACCGTCCTGTACGCCTCGTTACGGTGCTTCATGCCCACGAGGCTGGTGGTCCACTGCTGCAGGATACGCTTCTTCTCCACCGCGATGGTGTCGATCTCTGTGGTGGCCTGCAGACAGGGTGGCACATTGGGCACAGTGGAATGTGGAATGTGGCGGGAGCCACCTCCTGCCGCCTGCCCCCCCCCCCGCCCCGCCATAACTTTTTCTGCCTTGTTTGCTTTGAGACGGGGTTTGACCCCGTAACAGCCCTGGCTGTCCTGGAACTCGATGTGTGGACCTGGCTGGCCTCGAAACTCGGGAGAGCCACATGCCTCCGCTGAGGTTAAAGGTATTCAGCGACCGCGCCTGGCGCCTTAAATTTTTCTTGATCACAAATCGGCAGAGGGGCCACAGGAGGCAGAGCACAGCTTTGAAGAGGCGTTGGGTCCTCCGCGGAGTCTCCAGCCAGGTATTTAGGGCTCAGTGTGGGAGAGGGGCGTCTATCAACGGGGCCAAGTGGATGTCATGGATGGGGCTGAGGTCAGCCAGGCAGGGGACACCACAGGCCCCGCACCCCTGCCCCTCATCAGTTCTCGCCCAGGGAGGGGGTATTTGAGTCGAGAATGACCAGGGCCTCCGGGAGAGCATCTGACTCGGAGAAGTGGACCACCCTGTGCTGGGGACCGGAATGCAGAGCCCGGCTGTGGGGGAGGAAGTCCAGAGGGAGGACACGGAGGGTTCTTTCCTGTGGAGGTCGGAGGTCAGCCTGAGGCGTTGTTCCTCCAAAGCTATCCACCTCTTTCTGAGGCAGTGTGCCTCACCGGCCTGGAGCGTGCTGGCGAATCTAAGCGGTCAGACCAGAACACCCCAGGGACCTTCATGTTTCTGTCTCCCGACCTTTTTTTTTTTTTTTTTCCTTTTTTTTTCTTTTCTGAACAGGGTTTCTCTGTGGCTTTGGAGGCTGTCCTGGAACTCGCTCTGTAGACCAGGCTGGTCTCGAACTCACAGAGATCCGCCTGCCTCTGCCTCCCCAGTGCTGGGATTAAAGGTATGCGCCACCAATGCCCAGCTAGGATCAGATTTTTAAATGAGTGCTGGGGGTCAAATTCAAGTCCTTGAGTGGCATTTTATTGCCTCAGCTATGTCTCCTAGCCACAGTCTGGCTTTTTTTTTTTCTTTTCTTTTCTTTTGGTTTTTCGAGACAGGGTTTCCTGTAGCTAGCTCTTATATACCAGGCTTGTTCTCGAATTCACAGAGATCCTCCTGCCTCTGCCTCCCAAGTGCTGGGATTAAAGGTGGACGCCACCACTGCTCGGCAGTCTGGCACGTTTTAAAACACACACACACACACACAATGCACACACCTCTGTACCCACTACCTTAGAATCAAGGTCAAATAGTGGACTATGAGTGGTCTGGGTTGAGAGGCTGACAGTCACAAGCAGGTACCCCTCCTGGATCCTCCTTGGCAGTAACCTACCTATAACCGCCTCCCGGTTTCCCTCTGGTTCGCCCGAGCAATGATTTTGTGTGTGGCTGTGGGCCTGCCAATGTCTGAATGCTGGGAAGAAGAACTGAACAGACCTCACAGACAGAGGCAAAGGTCCAGCCAACGGGCCAAAGGAAGGAAGGAGCCCTGATGGGCATTTATCAGGAGTCCGTGGTCATCTTCAGCTACAGAGCAAATCTGAGGCCGACCAAGGCACATGAGACCCCGTCTCAAAGAAAAAGAGCTAGAGCTGGGCGTTGGTGGCGCACGCCTTTAATCCCAGCACTCGGGAGGCAGAGGCAGGTGGATCTCTGTGAGTTCGAGACCAGCCTGGTCTAGAGAGTGAGTTTCTCTGTAGCGCTGGCTGTCCTGGAACTCACTCTGTAGACCAGGCTGGCCTTGAACACACAGAGATCCTCCTACCTCTGCCTCCCCAGTGCTGGGATTAAAGGTGTGCACCACCACCGCCCGGCTTTATTCTTGTTGTTAATTTTTATGTGTATGGTGTTTTGCCTGCATGCATGTCTATGCACGACCTGTATGCCTGGTGCCAGAAGAGGCCAGAGGAGGGCACTAGATTCCCCGGGACTAGAGTTGACAGATGGTTTTGGGTCACCATATGGGTGCTGGGAATGGACCCAGGTTTTTCTGGAAGATCAGCCAACATTCCTAACCACTAAGCCACCTCTCCAATGTGTCCCCTCTTTAAACAGGTGATTCCATATGGAATTTATTTTAGTAGTTGGCATGGGTTTCTCCAAGTGATTCACCGAGGGTCCCAACACCATTTGAACACACAACAATGCAGTCCTCAGCTAATTAATAATCTGCTAACTTTCTGCGTGGATTGGGCTGACTGCCAGGTCAGGTATAGGTGACAAGGGGGCTTCTGCTCCCACTGGCTTTCGGGTGTGTGTGTGTGTCCTTACCTCGCTCACTGCTTTCCTTAGTAACCGAGTATCCTCAGCCTGGGACAGGTACTGAGCCTCAAACAGCGAGATGTTTTCTTCCAACTGGTGGACCCTCTCGGTGAGCTGGTCCACGAACAGATCCTGACATAAACAGAGGGGTCGTGAGGAGCTGTTAACAGCCAAGGACCGCTCCCCACTGGCGGCGTGGCCCAGACTGAGCGCTTCCTGGGGGGGGCAGTGGAGGGAGGTTGCCGTGGTGACGGGCTGCGCCCTGCTTACAGGGTTACCTGCTTCTTCTTCTCTGTCTCAGCGCGGATCTTCTCCATCTCAGCCTTCTTCACCACCTGCTTCATCAGGAGGATGTCATCGCGCACATCCTGGTCTATGTTCTGCATGTAGAAGACGTGCAGGGCCAGGTTCTCCATCTCCGTCTGCATGGCCGCCACTGCGGGAGAGGGGGGTTGTCACACGCTGCCCACGTGCTGCTGTCCCAAGGGGTGGGGGGCCTGGGACCCTTGGGACAGCACCCCACCCTGCGCCTTCCTTTGCGGAAGGACTGGAGACTCTCGTAACCCTGGCTGCCTGGGGCTGGCCACGTGGACCAGGCTACATGGATGGAGACAGATTTTTTTTTTTGATTTTTGAGACAGGGTCTCTTCTACATCCTAGGGCTAGCCTCAAACTACTGGTCCTCCTGCTTCCGCCACCTTCCCAGTGCTAGGATTACAGGCATACGCCTCCACATCTACACTGGGGACTCCATGTGTGAGTGTGTGTATGTGTGTGTGTTGTGTACCCATGTGTTCACTTGTGTAGAAGCTAGAGATGGCGGTCAGCTGTCTTCCCCTATCACTTTCTACCTTATTGGTTTTTCATTTTTTCTTCTTATTTTAAGTGTATGGGTGCTATGCCTGTACGCATCTTTCTGTCTCTGTCTCTCTGTCTCTCTGTGTGTGTGTGTGTGTGTGTGTGTGTGCGCGTGTGTACCACCTACATGCTTGATACCCTCCTAGGCCAGAAGAGGGCACCAGATTTCCTAGGACTGGATTCACAGATGGTTGTGAGTGGCCATGTGGATGCTGGGAATTGATTCTGGGTCCTTTGCTAGAGCAGCCAGTGCTGTTAAACTGCTGAGCCGTCTCTCCAGCCCCTACCTTATTGCTGAACAAGGTCAATCACGGCATCTGGAGTCACCTGATTAGGCAGGAGAGTGAGCCAGCCCTCGGGATCTTCCTGTCTCTCCCTCCCAGCACTGAGATTACAAGTGGACGGTGCGGTGCCCCGCCTCACAGGGGGGGTGCCCCGGCATCCAGACTCAGATCCTCAGGCTTGAACACACAGCACCTCACCCACTGAGCTGTGTTCACAGCCCCCGCACAAGACCCATAGACTACAAAGACCTCCGCTTGCTGCACAAGGGTTTCTGATATAACCGGAGGGCAAGAGGGAGCAAGAATGCTGAGACAGTCAGACGTGGCGGTGCAGGTCTGCAATCCCAGCACTCAGGAAGCAGAGGCTGGTGGTGGGTTCTAGGCCAGCCAGAGCAGCGCAGTCAGACCGTGTCTCGGAAAAGTATATGCATTTACATACACACGTTCCTTACCCACAATTCACACACCCGCCTCCTAGCAACTGGTGATAGACAAGGCCCCCAAGCACAGCAGGCAGGCTGGGGGGGGGCTTCGTACAAAGACCCACGGCAGTGCAGCTGCGGGGGGTGGGGTGAGGGGTGGGGGGTGAGGGGGCTGCCTCTCGGGCAGGGCCTCCAGGAGGCAGCACAAAACCTCAGTTCCGGTGGAGTCCCCTTAACAAAACTCACAGGGGACTGCGTGAGGCCGGGATGACGATGGGCCCAGGAGACTACGATTCGGTCGATGGATGTCTACTCTGGTTGGGGGCTAGCTCAACGGTGAGCGCTTGCTTAGCGTGTTTACGGCTCTGGGTTTCACCCCCCCACCTCACCCCAACATTGCAAAAACAGGTGAGTAAATGCCAGTGGTTATAAACATGTGTCAATCAATAACCACTGATAAATACGTAAAAGTTACCCGCAGGTAGAGAGCACTGGCTGCTCTTGCAGAGGATCTGGCTTTAGTCCCTGGCACCAGCACGGCGGCTCACAACCGTCTGTAACTCCGGTCCTAGGGGAGCCGACACCCTTTTCTCACTTCTGTGGGGGCTAGGTGTGCACGCGGGGCACATGCATGCGTGCATGTAAAACACAAGGCAGGCGCGGTGCACTTGGGAGGCAGAGGCAGGCGGGGTTCCACCAGTTTGAGGCCATCCAGGTCTGCATAGTGAGCTCGGGACTGGCCGGCGCTACACAGTGAGACCCTGTCTCAAAACCAAACCAAGGGCTGGAGGGAAGGCTCGGGGGTGAAGAGCACTGGCTCCTGCTCTTCCAGGGGACCTGAGTTCAATTCCCAGCACCCACATGGTGGCTCACAACCATCCGTAATGAGATCTGGCGCCCTCTTCAGTGCGCGGACACACATGCAGATAGAGCACTCATATACATAAGTAAATACATCTTTAAAACAAAACAAACTGCCAATACTGGTAAAATAGAAATAAATCCTTTAAAAATAAGAAACTCTAAGATATGGATAGATGGGAGGTAGACGGACAAACAAATAGATGTGTCTAACAGCACGGAACACTGCCTGTTCAGATGATGACAGGGTCCACACAGAAACCTGCGTGAGGGAAAAGCCTTAAAATGTAACACGAGCAATCCCAGAGCACTACAGCACACTCTGGCTCCCGGGGGGGGGCTTCCTGGGAAGGAGGGAGGCAGGCTGGAGCTGGTTTGAGGCACCGTACATTCCGGCTTCTTTCAACACTCAACACAGTCTAACGCTTCCTCTAGCTGCTGCTGTTTCCTTTGTTGCGGGTTTTAGTCGTTTTTCCTGCGGAGAGCCAGCCCGCCCGCCCGGTGCGGGTTTTTCCTGCTGAGTCTGGGACTTTTGCCTTTGTTGAGCTCCTTGGACTGGACCGGACCATGGGGGTCACCGCTGCCAGCACAGCGTGGGAGCTTTTCACCTGTGGCGTCTTTTGCTTCTGGTCTCTGAGTCCCGTTGTCGACTGTCCGCTGGGAGGAGCTCAGAGTTCACCGGTTCCCATCCCCACCCCCGTCCTTTCTCCTCTCATTCATTTGGGGGGCAGCTTCTGTGCAGTGAGCCTGGCTGCTCCAGCCCTCACTTAGGAGTTTGTTCCTTGAAGTGAAAATGGTGAGGGAGGCAGGGCACACTTGGCCTGGGGACAGGGGCCACCGGGTCGCACCTCGGAGCACGGCTTCGTCTGAGCACAAGGTCTTTAGAGAGGCTGTCAAGATTAAGTGTGGTCACTATGGCGGTCTAGGCTTGTCCGAAGAGGAGGTCAAGACCCAGGAGTGCGGAGAGCATGCCCCGTCCACCACCGGGGAGAGGGGCCTGGGAGGACACAGCCCTGACCGTCCTGCAGGGAGGTAAATGCCTGTGGATTACACGGGAACTACTAAATGTGGCGACTGAAGCGGGCTTCCTGCCCTCACACACCTGAGCAGGCAAGGGTGAACATTACCGCGCTCCTTCCCAGGCACAGCAAGGTCAGCTTGCCTTTGCCAGGTGAGGGATCGAGTCCGTGTTTCAATTACTCTTCTAAATTTCCATCCCTCCGGGTATTGGTGAGCATAAGTTGCTTTTCACGGTTTGATTTCCAGGGACCCATTTTCCTTCTCCAGAGAGAGCTGGCTTATCTCTGGGGTGTTTTGTCTTTTGCTGGCTGGCTCACGGGAGTGATGGAGAGCACCCCGTGTCATAAAAAACACAGTGGGCAGAATTCTTGTGTGGCGGCTCCCCTGGCTTTGCCTCTCCGTGTTACTTGGTAGTCTATATCAGCGGGAAGATGAAGTGGTGGGTCCAGCCCTTCGGGGGCGTTGCCGAGGGAGAGAAGCACTGTGAGCCGTTGACAGATGGGAGCCTGGCAGCGTGGTGCTCTGTGGTTCCATGGCCTCACAGCAGGTTCGTGACAGGGCTGGCTCCATGGCCTCACAGCAGGTTTGTGACAGGGCTGGCTCCGTGGCTCTGTGGCCCCACAGCAGGTTTGTGGCAGGGCTGGGCCAGCAACGTGAGCCTTCAGCATGAGCCCGGGTCTGCGGTGTTGGCAAGGGGGTGGGGTGGGGGCTTGAGTTTCAATGCCATGCTCTGCCTTTGTGGTTTTCTCTTGATTTGGAGGTAAGTAGGGGGAGTAGGGAGAGGTTCTTGATAAACACTACAGGTTGAAGGTGATCCCAAGTGCGGCAGTACAGGGGACAGCACACCTCCACCCGGGGGCGGGGGGCGCGGGCGGGGCTGTGGTGGATTAGCACAGCCAAGGGACTTGAGCCTGCATGCATCCCCTCTCCCCCTCTCTGTCCCCTCTTGTCTCTGCCCTTCAGCCACCACGTTAAACGCTTCATCGCCAGACATGTGCGGAGTCCCTCCATGGCGGACATCTTGTTCTCCAGAATCGTGTGGCTAATGGTTGGTGGAGTGTGCTCCTGCCATGCCTGAGGCCCTGGGTTCGACCCCCAGTGCCCCACACACCTGTGAGACCGGGCACAGAGGAAGGCGGAGGCAGGAGGCTGAGACGTTCAAGGTCACCCTACGTATACAAGTTTAAGGCCAGCCTGGGCTACATGACACACCGCCTCCTAAAATTAAAAAACCCAACCAAACAAACAAAAAGACGGTTCACTGCCAGTGTCCCAGGGGGATTCTGCTATAGAAGCATCCAAATGCAAGCCCGGGAGCCCTGCCCACATTCCTCAGGGTTCAAAAAATACTTCTTGCCAGAAGAGGTGCCAGGCCCAACGCCTGCTGTTATTTTAGTAATAGAGTTGACAAGAGAAAGTCGGAAACATCGGAGTACACAAGGAACAGATAACGGCTGGTGTCGGGAGAGCTGCTGCTCGCCGTCTACGCTGCCCTCTGTTGTCTACTTAGCAAGGGCGGGGTGGCGTGCGCCTTCAGTGGGGACACTGCTTTTGTGACATGCACAGCTGCCTGCCCGTCTCACGTGACCCCCAAGCTACCTGGCTTCCCACTCGGCTGCCCCTCAGACCCTCTGGCTGCCGCTGATGCCTCTCCCGCCAGCAACATGGCCTCTCCCGGGTCTGAGCTCCACACACACACACCTGTTAGGCATCCCCCCCGGGTTCACCCTTGGGACCGCCACAGCCCCTCTATGCTTCCGGTTTGGAGTCTCTACACCCGACCCCTGTTAGCCTCAGACCTTGCTGCTCTACCCAGTGAGGAGGCTTTTCTGGCATTGCTGGGCCTTCCTTTCCTAAATAAAAAACAAAACAAAACAAACAAACAAACAAAAAAACCCGGCAGGAGCCCCTCCTAGACGTGCAGCTGCTTTGCTGGTGTCTCCAACAACGCGTGGGCCACACACACGTAGGAGACAGCACGGGAGGCAAGGCCCTAGGTTCCCTCGGGGTTCATGGGACGGACGGACGGACAGACGGACGGACAGACGGACGGACGGACGGACGGACGCCTTACACTTCTTTCGTTCCTCGTTGGCAGTTGCGCAGGTCTTGTTGTAGAGGGCCCGGACGGTCTGCAGCTCCTCCTCCTTCCGCCTCCTCTCGCAGGCAGCCACAGAGTGCCGGTCGTGACTCTTCTCCAGCTGCATCTGCAGGCGGGCCAGGTGCTGCTGGACCCCGTAGAGGTTCACGCCCAGCTCCTGCCGCTGGGCCCGGCTTTGCTTGGTGGCCACATCCTGTCACCGGACAAAGAAACGGGGTTGAGGCTGACCCGCGGGCGCCCGCCAGGCCGGGCCGGGGAGGGAGACAGGAACCGGCACGCACCAGCTCTTGGATGTCCAGCTTCAGTTTGTCCATCTGCCGGTTGAGGTAGCTCTTCAGAGCCTCCTGGAATCTGATCATCAGGGGCTAAGACAACAGAAGACCATAAGCAGCCAGTTACTCTCAACTTCCCAAGCAGGACTCAGCCTAGGCCCAGTGGCACGCTCTCTCTCTCTCTCTCTCTCTCTCTCTCTCTCTCTCTCTCTCTCTCTCTCTCTCTCTCTCTCTCTCTCTCTCTCTCTCTCGGGGTGAGAGTGGACGGGCCGGGGCTAGTATGGGCAGACACAGCCCAGGCTCTTCCTGTGGAAGCCACAGTTCTGGGCACCCCGTGGCCGGTGCCAGACACTGCAGAGGTCTGGCTGAGGGGCTGGTGAGCTGCTGCTGCTGGGAGAGGCTCATCCAGATTGACCAGCAGCAGCCCTCACACCAGTGTCAACTGGGGGCTCCGAGGGCTTTCCCAGTGCACCCTGGCCTTCCTCGGAGCCTCCTGGAGCACTGCAGCTCCCCAAATGTGTCACTCAGGTCAAATCTGCCTTTCTCCTTTGTTGCAGGTCTGGGACAAGGAGCCTTGGCCGTGACTGCCAGGCTGCAGTAAAAGTAACATGACCCCTTGCCTTCTTCCAGCAACCTGCCTGGCCCTGATTGTCAGGACAAAGAAATGGGTGGAAACCAGAGGTTTGACTACAGGTCCTACAGTGTCCAGACCCCTCACAGAGGACACTCAGTCCTCAAAACCAAAACAAAGGAAAAAAAAACCCAGTACAGTCAAGGGTGGTGTCCTGGTTAGTTTTTTTGTCAGTTTGACAAAAGCTGGCCATCTGAGAAGGGGGAGCCTTAATTGAGAAAGCGTCCCCATTAGACTGGCCTATAGGCAAGCCTGTGGGGCTCTTTCTTTTTTTATTACTTTTAAATTTAAATTAGAAACAAGGTTGCTTCACATGTCAATCCCAGCTCCCTCTCTCCCTCCCCTCCTCCCTCGCTCTCCCATCAACCCCCATCCCCCACCCCCTCCCCCAAACCCCACTCCTTTCCCCAGGGAGGGTGAGGCTCTTTCTTGATCTGCGATTGACGTGGGAGCGCCCAGCCCACAGCGGATGGTGCTGCCCCCGGGGCAGGTGGCTCTGGGCGGTTTACGAAAGAAAACCCTGAGCGAGCCACTTGGAGCAAGCCGGTAAGGAGCACCAGTAGGGAGCACCGCTCCACGGCCTCTGCTCAGTCCCTGCCTCCTTGTTGCTGCCTTGAGTCCCTGCCCTGAGTTCCCCCCCTTCATGCTGGACCTTTAACTGCCAGCAGAAATAAACCTGCTCCTCCCCAGGTTGCTTCTGGTCATCGTAGGGAAAAGGGGCCAGTCAAAGAAACACACCCTGAGAAGAGCCAAAGAAACACACTTTGACCCTGCAACCAGAACCAAAGAAATGCAACCTGACCCTGAAACCAGTGCCAAAGGAACACACTTTGTCCCTGGAATCTGAGTCAGTGAAAGAAATGCACCCTGGCCCTAAAATTGGAGCCAAAAGGCTAAAAAGGACCAGAGAAAGAAACACACTTTGGCCCTGAAACCAGAGCCAAATCTGACCTTAATCCTGTGCAGAAAACCAACCAATCCCGGAGCAGAGCTTTAGCCAATCTGAGCTCAGCACTGAAATCGGACCAATCCCTACCCTGGAAAAACTTCTCCGCCCCCAAGAATCCCTATATAAACCCTGTGTATGTTCAGCTTGGCTGGTCCAGCTGCTTCCTTCCAATAAACCCCTTCCGATGAGCGGATACATTGGGGAAGCCTTTCCCTGAGGCAAGGCTGTAAGCAACTACACTTATTGCAACCTGTGGTGGTCACTGGCTTCTGGGCTCCAGGATTCCTTTCCACCTGGGCTGTGCAACACTCAGTATTCTGTGACTCCCAAGTGCCAGAATACCTGACCCACTCCTGTTCCATCCCGATCCGCCTGAAACGCTTATACTCATGGTGCTTACCGCGGGAACATACAATGAACTACATCAGCCAGTAAACAAAGCAGCTCTGGGCAGTTGGCTGGATGCAGGAAAGGGTCCCCCCGTGCCTTCTCCCGGCACAGGGCAAGAGCGAAACCCGAGGACGTTTTTCTTACGTGGTCTGGGTCCAGCACCACCAGCTGGGCGCCCTCATCGTCCACCTCGTCACTCCCTTCGGATGCCGCTCTTCCGACCAGGGCCTCTTCCTCAGGGCTGAGGGGCTGGATGCGGTCCATAAACTCCATCTGGGTTTCTTCCCGGGGGCCGGGAATGGGGTGCCCTGTAATGAGAGTCCAGAGGGAGACAGCAAGTGTCACCGAGGCTTTGATCGTTGTATTCTGGGGAAGTAAGCATCTTGCCCCCCCCCCGCCCTGCCCCCGGTCCTCGCAGGATGTTTTGGAAATTAGGAAGGAGAACTTTCCAGTGGTGAGTTCTCGGGCTTAACCATGGCGCCAGCCATCGAGGACTCAAGACGCCAGCCCGCTCCGCAGCGTGGGGCCCACACCCTAGCAGTGGATGAGCCAGCGGCTCGCACGTGATGAGCGGAAAGGGGGGAGGTGCCTTACTGTGGGGGCTTTGGCGTTAAGAACAGGGGGGAGACGGCCCTGAGGTTAAACATGCTTCGCTGCTCGCTCTGCCAGAGGAGAAGGGCTTGGTTCCCAGCACCCACGCCTGTCTCCAACTCCAGCTCCAAGGGATCCAGTGCTGCCTTCTGGCCTCCATGAGTCTGCACTCATGAGACCTATACCCACAGACACACTTACACTCGTAAGTTACAAAAAAAAAGTTAAAAAAGACCGAAAAGGAAATGGAATTATAAGCTAGGTCACGAAGACCCATGTTTTGTCTTTTGATGGGTGTGATTATTTATTTATTTTGACACAGGGTCTCCCTATGTGCCTTGGCTGTCCTGGAACTCACTCTATAGATCAGGCTGGCCCTGAACTCACCCTCTGCCTCCCAGGCACTGTGGGGACTAAAGGCGGAAGCTGTCATGCCAGCTGTTGAGCAGAGTGATTTTTATCTAATGTGCCTTGCTGCTTAGGGCGGTAAATGGAACACAGTAGGTACTCAACAGAACACAGTAGGTACTCAACGGATCACGGCTGAATAAAACACACAGTCAAGGCCTGCGTGGTGGTGCACACCTGTAATCTTAGCACTTGGGGCCTGGAGACGGGGAATCAGAAATTCCAAGGCCGGTCTTAGACACATAAGGAGTCTGAGGCCACACTGGGCTCTGTGTCAACCTGTTTTGATTTTTATTGATTGCCTTTTATTACGTGTATGGGTCTACATGTACATAGGTGCCCACAGAGACCAGAGGAGTCAGATCCCCCTGGAACTTGAATTACAGGTGGTTGCGAGCTGCCTGACATTGGTGCTGGGAATTGAACTCGGGTCCTCTGGAAGGGTCATATGTGCCCTTAAATGCTTCGTCATCTCTCCAGCCCCAACACCCTGTTTCAAGCAAAACAACAGCGGCAAAATATTCAGGTAGAGCCTGGTGGTGGCGCACGACTGTAAATCCCCAGCACTCAGGAGGCAGAGGCAGGCGGATCTCTGTGAGTTCGAGCCCAGCCTGGTCTACAGAGTGAGTTCCAGGACAGCCAAGGCTACAGAGAAGAAACCCTGTCTTGAAACCCACCAGCCCTGCAAAAAAAAAAAAATGTTCAGGTAAAGCTATGAGGTGGTGTGACCTTCGGAGGAGGGGTTGGTCCAGCAAACTGAATCTTCTGGGTTCTGGGTGCCCCATGGGAGGGGAGGAAGGGGCTTTTCCAGGGCCAGTTGGCAGACAACTGTATCACTTAGGAAAACTAACCACAGGCCTGGTAGAAATGGTCATTCTGTACCATCAGGAATTGCAGCCCTGGTGTGTGTGTGTGTGTGTGTGTGTGTGTGTGTGTGTGTGTGTGTGTGTGTGAGAGAGAGAGAGAGAGAGAGAGAGAGAGGAGAGAGAGGAGAGAGAGAGAGGGAGGAGAGAGAGAGAGAGGGAGGAGAGAGAGAGGGGGGAGAGAGGGAGGAGAGAGAGAGAGACAGGAGAGAGAGAGGAGAGAGAGAGAGGGAGGAGAGAGAGAGAGACAGGAGAGAGAGAGAGAGGAGAGAGAGAGGGGGGAGGAGAGAGAGAGAGGGAGAGAGGGAGGAGAGAGAGAGAGAGGGGAGAGAGGGAGGAGAGAGAGAGAGAGAGAGAGAGAGAGAGAGAGAGAGAGAGAGAGAGAGAGAGAGAGAGAGAGAGAGAGAGAGAGAGAGAGAGAGTTCTCCAGGGCCTGGCCCCTTCATGCAGACATCCCACAGGCGGGCTAACCCTCTGGATGACGGTGACGGCAGCGGTGCGGGTTTGCGGCGTCCACCCGTCTTGCCTCCCCTGCAGCCGTGCACTCCTGGCTCACCTGTTGCCTGGGTTTCACCCGGGGCTCAGAGGTTTCATTGACTCCTCCAGGTTCAGCTTGCACATGGCTGGGACTACCGTGTGAAGCACCACGTCCATTTTTGCGGACCAGGGCCCTCCTTGCGTGCATGCGTACGTGTGCGCGTGTGCGCGTGTGCGCGTGTGTGTGCATGTGCGTGTGTGACAAGCAAGTACCACCACTGAGCTGCATCCTTGGCTCCTGGCCCGTATTTTTTTTTAAACTAGGCTAGGAACTGCCCTGTTTGCATGTCACTCCTGGATCATGCGTGGCTTTGTGAGCGGAACCACAGACAAGGACACCGGTGTGTCCTTCACACTCAGGGGGGGTATATGTCAGGAGAGTTACCCCAGGGTTCCACTTCCAGAGGCCAGGAGGCAGCTGGAGGCAGGCAGGGTGGTGGTGGTGGGGGTAGGGGGTCAGGGCTCTGGGTGCTGGGGCCTCTTTAAGAGTCCTTATCTGCACAACGGAGAACGGTTGCTACTTCACTGGGGTCGAAAGGCTGGGGAGGCAAAGTAAGTGCCCCACAAAGCCACCCAAGTCTCCTCAACACAGGCTTGTCATTAGCCGCCTGGCTTCAGGGAGGTGAGGTGACGGGCGGGCGGGCGTGGCCCCAGTGGCCTCACCTACGCAGAGGGGAAGGTGGACTGGCTGAGCCCCCGTTGCCGGGACAACCCCGGCAGAGGCATCGCATCGCATCGTACCTGATTCTGGCCCAGGAATTCCTTCTGTGTCCGGGAGGAAGTCATTAATGTCCGAGGACGCCAGACTGCCCATGATGCTCAGCCTGAAGCGATGTCGCGCCCCCATAGGAAAGACTCTCCGAGAAGCGCCCTCTGGGGCTCTCAGCTACAGACAAGAGGGGCAGAAACCAGTCAGTGAGGGCGGCCGTGGTACGGAGACCGTTTCATCGTGTCCCCTCCTGAGCGGGGCTCGCCATGGACCTGGACAAGATGCTCTGCTCCGCTGCCCAGATGCCAGAGGCTGGGAAGCATGTCCTGAGCACACCTCACAGGGGATCCAATCTTCTCTTCCATCTGAACACCTCCAGACATCTGGCTCCCCCCAAACCCCCCTTGAGACAAAGTCTCCTACGTAGCCTGGGCTACTCTGGGTACGTACAACCCTCGTGCCTCAACCTCCTGAGTGCTTTCACCCCCGGGGCTCTGTTTTTAGCTTCTGAAGGGACTGCCACAGTTAACTGAGATGGGTCGTCCTTACTGAGGCTGCTGGGGTAAACGCTGGCCCAGAAACTAGTGAGGCAGGGCTTCACTATCCTGTTCACGGGGAACAAAGTACGTCTGCCATCTATGGCCGCGGGCCCCAGGAAGGGCTCCTAGTGAAAGTCTCTGCGTACACTGATCCCCAACAGTTCTCCCCCACTACCCTGTATTCCTAGGGGCCGAGGGCCGGAAGGCAGAGGGAAGCAGGACTCTCCTAGGATGTATATATTTGCCTTCTTGTTGATGGTCCTGGAAACCTTTATCTCAGTAAATTTTCTGGAAACCGGACCTGAGGGTGGAAACCGGATAAACAGAACGAGTGCCTTGTCCGTCACCCACACAAAGGTGAGGACATTGCTCAGCTGCTGCCCTCCTCACCAAAGTCACAGAATGTGTGTGGGGGAAGATTTTGTTTTCTGTCGTTGATCTGTCATGCTGGCGTCTGAACCCAGGTCCTCACAGAGTAGCCTGACAGGCGCCCTACCAAGGAACTGCAGTGCAGTCTGTAAGAGTGGGCTGGATCAGAAAGCGCGGCGAGGGTTCATCGAGCACGGAACCCGGCTACCCCCCAGACTTAGGAACTCTTGGCTTTCATGGGGTTGGGGGAGGAGGCAGGCCCGTGGCGTCATGGCTCAGGACGGCGGTTTCAGAGCAGAAGCAACCAAATGTCATGACAGTGGTGAGGCCCTGGGTAAGGAAGCCACTTTCTCTCTCAGTTTCTTTTCTTGTTTTAATAATGATTTTTAAAATATCCGTTTGGGTAAGTGTATGCGTTTTTCATGCATACACGTGTGCAGTGCCCATTACGGCCAGAAGAGGGCATCAGATCCTCTTGGAACTGGTGAGCCACCACGTGCGGGCGTGTTGGGAATTGCACCTGGGTCCCCTGCCCCTGTGAGAGCGGCCAGTGCTCTAACCACTGAGCCGTCTCTCCAGCCCCCACCTTCCAGTTTCTTCATCCGCACCGTGGAGTCAACAGGGGCTCCCAGCCCACAAGGCGGCTGTCGGGATTCCCACGACACAGGCATAGCATCATTGGACTGCGGATGCAGTGAAAAACGCCCCCTCCCTCTCCTCTCCTGGCCCTCTTTGCATCCAGAGCAATTCACACCAGGTGGGAGGAGCTGGGCGGGAGAGAGGCTGCTGTGGGTGGGGATGATAGAGTTCAGAGGGGGTGTAGTCTGCAGGAGGCAGGGCCACACTACTAACTCCAGTCAGAGGACAGGACCAGGCCTCTCAGCATTGAGGCTCCTGTAAGTGTTGACACTGATGTGTGCGTGCGTGCGTGCGTGTGTGTGTGTGTGTGTGTGTGTGTGTGTGTGTGTGTGTGTGCCCGTAAACACAGCTGAAAATTGTACAACTCCACATGTCTGTGCCCGGGTATAGAGGGACCTGGGGGACAGTGAGGCCTCAGGGCCAACGATCACTCCTGTACACAGACATAACCTACGGGGTCAAACGCCCATGCACATTAAGATGGATAAACAGAATTTTAAAATAGAATTTTTATAGATTCAAAATGTTTAAAATTCAAAACAGATTTAAAAAATAATAATATTAAGGTGGATGAGTTTGAGGGCAGCCAGGACCACACAGTGAGAACCGGTCTCACAAAGTAAATAACTCAACAGATGGAGAATTATAATGGAACACGGTTGACTGGCATCAACCGTCGGCTGCCCCGTGCCTGTGCACACACGCCACACACACACACACACACACACACACGCGAAGTAGAGACTTTCAAACAAACAAACACACAAAGAAACAAACAAAGCACCAGCTTGTTGAGTTCCAATACAGCCAGGGCGACATAGAGGGACCCTGTCTCCGGAAAAAACAAAACTGAGGAGTTTCTCAGGGACAAGCCACATCAGTGATGCACACTGCTGGGCAGAAAATGAGACACTCTAGATAAATAATAATAATCGCGCTGTGATTTTTTTTCCCTCTGGATTCCAAATATCCCACTTTTATACTCTGAGCAATGAGAACATCTTCCCGTAAAAACGTTACTCAGCGCTTTGCAGTGAGGGAGGCCGGCACTTCTTCTTCTCTAACCAATGCCAATCAAGCCACTCTCCTCCCTCTTCCATGGCTCTCGGGAGCAATCCGAGGACACAATCACCTGGGTGGCTCTGCCCAGGGACTCAAACCCTAGCATCCTTGGAGGGAGTGCCGGAACTCCTACTCCACTAGTGGCCAGGGGAGAGAGAGACTAAAGAGCAACCGCCCGGCCCGGCAAGTTGTCCTTAGACATCTGGTAAGCTGCAAGATGAGACCTGAGAACTTCCGGGAAACGAAGGAGAGAGAACGGCCAGATTTTCCCACTGTGGTGCTGGGGCCCCGACCTAGGCCCTCCCACCCTGCTAGGGGAGCCCTGAACATCCCAGCCCTAGTTCAGGCTTTAAGGGCTCAGCCATCCCCGGAACTCTCTGCTGTGGGCTGGTTTCCTCAGAATTGAAACATATACCCTCCTGTAGGCAGGCTCTCTGAGACTCACAAGTGAAAAAAAAAAAGTAGCAGCCGGTAAAATAATAATGATGATGGTGATGGTGGTGATGGTGGTGATGGTGGTGATGGTACTATTAGCCATAGTTGTGGAGAAGAGACTCTGGGAGGGGTGCCCTGCCTACAAGTCCTGCAGGGAGAACCAGGGTTGCTGAACTGGGCTTCTGGGGATGTAGCTGCTTTTGAGTCACCCATGCTCCTCTGAGGGACCCCAGTAAACTCATTGGTTCTCCAACCTGGACTTTGGTGGAATCATTACTTCAGCCTGTTGCTGGTTCACTGTCTGGGGCCAGGGGACATTTGTCGGGGACTCCCCAGGAAAAGGCCACAGGATGCCTTGTGAGAAACACACGTGAAAGCATTTGGAGGCGGCACATCAGATTTGAAACTTACCTCTGGCACCTAAGAAACTCAAAAAAATTTTTTGTACTTCATTCTTTTCCCCCTCTGTAAATTTGTAATTGCTTTAAATTTTGGTGCTGACCTCAATTTAGCCACTAGCAATAGATGACTATTTAAATGTAAATGGATCCGATGGGCTTGTTTCTTTGTTTGAGATGAGGTCTCTTTAAGAGCCAGGCTGGCTGGGAACTCAGGATCCTCCTGCCTCAGCATTCCCTCTGGGTGCTGGGGTGAGTGCCCAACTCATTTGAATTTTGACAAATGGGAAATTTAATTTCTCTTTTGGGCCACCCTGCTCTGGAAGACTACAGAGACCTGGTTGCATGCCCGTGCATGGGTGGTGGCTACGGAACGTACCTGGCCTGGCATTTGGCAACTTGGATGTGAGGTTCAGGCCCTCTCCACGCTGGTCTACATTTGCTGAGAAATTCCTAATGGGGTGTGCTCGAAGGCTTTGGGTCCACTTGGGAAAACGCTTCCATCAGGCTGGCCTACAGCCAAGTTTGTGGGGCATTTTCTTAATCAGCAATTGATGTGGGAGGGCTCAGAGAACCGCACTACCACCACACTACCTGTGGGCAGGTGATCCCAGATTTTGTAAGAAAGCAACTCGAGCCAAGCCAAGAGGAGCGAGCTAGAAGCTCCTTGGCCTCTGCTTTAGGTGTCTCCTCCAGGGTTCAAGTCTTGGGCTCCCGCCCTGACTCCCCTTCAGGGTGGACTAGGATCAGGGTGTGTAAGCCAAATAAACCCTTTCCCGCCCCAGTGGCTTCTGTCTATCATTGTAGCAGCGGAGTAGGGGGCTCGGTACAAACAAGGACACTCACCTGGCTGTCTTCTCTGTTTTCCACCGGCTCGTACATGTCCAAGTCTTGCTGGGATAAGTCAGCAGAGTCCGGCCTGGTTGTTTCATACAGGTAGGAGGCGCTGACTTCATCTGAAATCATCTCCCAGGGGCTGATGTCCGAGTAGGCGAGCTCCGGGGAGCTGACCCTTTCCGAGAAGTTGTCCTTCTCAGAGAAGGTGAACGCCTCGGACGCTTCTTTCCCATTAAGGTAAGGTTCCTCACCTGGGACATCTTCTCCAGCGGGTTCCCCTTCCCCTTGAGGGCTGGCCTCTCCTCTCTCTGGCATGGCGTCGGCGTCTTTGATGGATCCCAGGCGGATTTCCAGGATGCCCTCTCCAATGGCGTCCAAGTCCATTTCTGATATAGTCTCTTCACTGTGTTCGATGCCTAGCTGTGGTGTGGCCTCTCCAGTGGCTCTCTCTTCTGTTTCTTGGGGAGCCTCTCCAATGGATTCAACCTCTGTTTCTTGGGGAGCCTCTCCATCGGGTTCCACCTCTGTTTCTTGGGGAGCCTCTCCATCGGGTTCCACCTCTTCTCCTTCAGGGATGGCCATTCCTTTTTCATCATCCGCCATCTCTCCTTCAAGTCTGCCTTCACTTTCTGCTCGAATGTCCTCTTCAGGACCCTTGGTGGCATCTCCACCCTCATCAGTTTCTTGGCCATGGTTTTCCATTGGTGGTGACACCTGCCCCAGGGTGGCAAGAAAATGTAATAGTGACAGACATGTTAGGGTGATAGGAGGGACACATCTCCATCCCCCCCGCTCCATGCCCAGGAGATTGTGTTTTGTGCTGTAACGTGTAACCACTCTAGTTTCTTTCTTTTTTTATTTTTGTTTTTGTTTTATGAGACAGGGTTTCTCTGTATTGTTTTGGAGGCTGTTGGTCCAGCCCAGCCTCGAACTCACAGAGATCCGGCTGCCTCTGCCTCCCGAGTGCTGGGATTAAAGGCGTGTGCCACCACTGCCCGGCACCACTCTGGTTTCTACAGTCCTGCGGTTACAAGCAGGAACTCTATAGACAACGCAGGGAAGTCTAAAGGTCGGAGAAGCCATTGTTGATAGCTAACACTCTGGAATGAGGTGTGTCCTGGTTATTTATTTTTTTTTGTCAACTTGACACAGCCTAGGGTCATCTGAGAAGGGAGACTCAGCTGAGGGAATGACCGTGTCAGACTGGCCTGTCTGCAAGACTGTCTTGATTATTAATCGATGTGAAGGGACCCAGCCCACAGCAGGCAGCGCCGTCCCCCAGGGTAAGCGGTTCCGGGTTACACAGAAAGCTACCTGAACCAACAAGCCAACAAGCAGTGCTCCCCCATGGCTCTTGCTATGCTTTGCTGGCTGTGAGTGAGCTCTCCGGTTGGAGGGAACACTATGTGGAACAAGGAATAGCAAGCAGGCCTGACTCGGCTCAATAATGAGCCATGACCCGTAAGTGTGCGCCAAATAGATCCCTTTCTCCTCTGAGTTGCTTTTGGTCAGAGTGTTGGACAACAAGGACATGGTGGCGGGGGTGGGGGTCGGGGGAGAAGAAGTTTCTCTGCACCTGAACTGAGTTTGTCAGAGCAAGCGATCATGGACCCTGGCCATCCTGTCTATTTACAAAATATGTCTATTTTTCTCCCAGAGAACAGCAGCCCAGATGAACCCTCCAGATGGAAGTTACCTCATGGCCTTCAGCATGCTGCTGCTCCTCTTCCTCTTCGGCAGAAGCTTGCTCACCGTCTAGGCGTGACCTGCTTTTAGAAACAGACACTAGCTCAAGGCCTATCCTGTAAGCTGCATGCCTGCTGCTCATTGGTGTTAACTGATGTAAAGCAGTCATTGTAACATTAAAGAGACAGCTTGTGGCCGGGCCTTGGTGGTGCACGCCTTTAATCCCAGCATTCGGGAGGCAGAGGCAGGTGGATCTCTGTGAGTTTGAGGCTGGGCTGGACAGACAGCCTCCAAAACAATACAGAGAAACCCTGTCTCGTAAAAAAAAAAAAAAAAAAAGAGAGAGACAGCTTGTGGGGGCTATTTTGGGCCAAGGCAGGGTGAGGATAACATGCCCGACTCTGACTCAGCTTCTCGACACTGCCATGGTTTGCATGCAAAATATTTTGGCTTTTCAAAAACTTAATTAGGGACTGCAGTCTGGACCCCAAGTGCTCCCATAAAACCAGGCATAGTTGCTTGAGGATATGAGACAGGAGCATCACTGTGGCTTGCTGGCCACTAGGCTGGCCCCAGGTTCAGCAAGAGGCCCTGCTTCAATTGAATATGGCAGAGAGCAACACAGGACAACATCCAACACCCTCCTCCAGCTTGTGCACGCGCACACACATGCATGGCACACACATACTCATACACAAGCACACACTCATGCACACACACACTCACACACAAGCACACACTCTCTCACACATGCATGCACACACACTCACACACAAGCACACACACTCATACACACTCACACTCAAACACACACTCTCATACACACACCCTTCCACAAATATGCCAGTGCAATGTTTAAGACACAGACTAAGCTAACTTTTTAAAAAGTCTAACTAACATTGGCATATGTTTCACAGACAATGAAAACACTCGCCGTTTCCCCCTGTGCTGCCCATGGCAGCCACTGTGACAGGCAATTATGATGCCCTTGCCTTTGCTCAGAATCTCTGCATTTAAACTACTCCCCAAAGTGGAACTCATTCTATACCTATTGTTTCATATTTAGCTTTATCATGTGATATAATCTGGATGTGATTCCATGGGAGTACACAGAGACTTACGAAATATGAAAAAACCCAGGAGTGTCCAAGCAAATAGAACTACTTAAACTGGCTTCTGTTTTGCACCCAAAAGGGAACCCGTAGCAACATTTTGGGGTGCACTCAGGGCTGGTGATCCCCCAAGCCCACGACAGGTTGATCCATTCTTGGACTGACCCAATCCCTATCTGAGCTAGTGCTCCTCCCCTCTGCTCCCAACTCCTGCAATACTGGACAGCCTCTTCTCCATGCCCTGCTTTGTAGCCCGGTTTACCAAGCACGGTGGTTGCCATGGTTACCGAAGTGCGTGCGCAAATCTGTAGTCCAGGAGAAACAGAGGCAAGGAGTAGGGAATGGGAGGGGGTGGGGGAGTAGGGAAGGACAAAGGACAGGAGGTGAAAGGGAGAAGGGACATGGGCGAAGGGTGGGGTCGAAGAGGCCCGGAAAGGTCCAGAAAGTAGGGAGGAGAATGGGAAGGGGTACAGAAATGAAGGGGAAGGCGCGTGGGGTGGGGGCACCTGCGTGCAGAAAGCCGGGGGAAAACGTCTGGTGGGTCCATTATTCCTTTGGCCAGGCTTACCCGTCAGCCTGATCCTCCGGCTCCGCCATCTCTCGTTGCTAGGCGACGCCATCAACATCCGGCGAAGTCGGGACCACGCGCTCAAAGACGGCAGGAGGCGGGGCCTGGCTGCGTCCCGCAGTTCTCACAGAAACACCATGCATACGCAGTAAAGCACGAATGTGTGTTTTGTCCCTCGCCGTGTGTCCGAGCCTTTCGTGACCGGACCTGGGTTTTGTAGAGTGACGACAGCGCTAAAGTGCATTCAACTGAGCACCTTCGAACCCGAGGATGGTCGGGGGCTCCGAGGGTGGCATGCAGGGTGGGGGATGCTGGGTCCGGAAAACTCCCCTGGCTCTGGCTCTTCCACCTCCAGCCTTGACCACGGGGTCCTTTCGAGTTGTCGTTGGCAGAGGAGGGAGGCCCAGTGTCCTATGGTGGGCATCGTTCCTTCTTACCCCAAATTAGAGAAATAGGAACGCAGGGGGATGAGCGCATACCCGGGCACTGGAAGGTCCTGCCTCTAGGACCGAGGGCGCAGAGCTCCCATCCAGGGTAGCGTCTTGGGTACCCGGCACGCAGCGTGACCAGCAGATGCAGCCAGCAGGGAACCCCGAGTCGGGCCGTCCGGCGCGCGGGGACTCCCCGGGGATGGAGACTGGGCGCGACGTTCCGGGCTGCGCGGGTCTGGGCGGGTCCCGGGGCGGAACGGAGGCGGAGCGAAGGCCGGGCCTCTCCACATCCCCTCCCCGCCGCGCCTCGCTAGCGGCGGTGGTGGCCGTGGCGGCGGCGGTGGTGGTGGCTCCTGGAGCCGGCGCGAGTCCAGCCCCCGCGGCGGGACCCGGGTGGGTATTAGGGTTCGTCTGGGAGCGCGGACCGGGGGTTTCGGGGTCCACTCGGAACGGAGTGGCGGTCCCTGGGTGCACTGGAATCTGGAGGCGCGGGACGCGGGCCTGCGGCGCGGGGGACCCGGGAGGGGCTCGCAGGATCCGCGCTGGGCGCAGGGCGGGGGCGATGCGGAGGGACCCGGATCTCGCCGGGGGCGCCCTGGGACTCCATCCTCGGCGAATGAGACTCCCTGCTTTGAAAGTGGGCCCAACTGAAGGAGACTCGGTCCCGCCTGTCTAGAACCGTCCGCCGGGGCACTTGCGGTCTTTGTCTGGCTGGCTGGTCTGAGCATGCGAAGAACTTGTGGGGTTCCGGTACTGGCTGACAGAGTCCCCCAAAGTGGATCATGCCCTCCTGGGGACGTGCGCGCTCTTAGCGTTCGGGGCAGTATGGGGAATGGTCTGGGTTATTTAAGAGCCCCAAGTCAAAGTCCTCACTTCTTTTTAAGCCTTCTCTCTCTCTCTCTCTCTCTCTCTCTCTCTCTCTCTCTCTCTCTCTCTCTCTCTCTCTCTCTCTCTGTCTCTCTCTGTCTCTGTCTCTGTCTCTCTCTCTCTCCCTTCCCTTCCCCTCGCCCTCTCCCTCCCTCTCTGTTCTTCCTTGAAAAGAAAGAAAAAAAAAACGGGATAGTAGAATAAGAAAAAGGGCAATTTAAGATTGCTAAAAATAACCCTCGGAGCCCTGCCAGAACTAACGCGCGGTGAGAAGTAAAACCCTGTTCCTCGGAAGTCGGTGTCATATGCTGGCCACAATCTAGTTCAGATTCCGTTCAAAAATAGAAAAACGTCTCTTTCTTCGTTAAAGTTTGCTTCGTGGCCTCTGTCAAGTTCCTTTACCAGGAAAGAGGGGAAATATCCCGGTCGCTAAGCATATTGGTGAGATCGTGGGTGCAAAGAGTAGGGGCTGCGCTCTAATCTCACCACCTGATTAAAGAATTTAAAAGAAAACTGTGTGCAAGCCTTAGGGAGCCCTCACTAGGAAGGTTGACGTTAACGCTGCTGATGGCGAACGTTTAACTTAATGGTGAGAGAACTTTGCGGACAGGCACTGTCATTTCGAATTGACCTGAGTTGCTTCCCAGCCGGCTGTAGGGGGTAACTCTCTTGGGTTGAGAGTACTTACTGCTTTTTTTTTTTCTTCCTGTGGCTTACCAGTAAGTAGAGTCTCAGAGTGTAGCTGGGAAGTTCTTCCAAGGGAATTGTCTGCTCTTGTGGCAGTTATGGTCAGGTAACAATGCCTGGTTATCTAACCTGTGGGTTTTCATAGTGCACAAAAGCAGGTTCGTGAAAGGGCTGTGGTTTATAATTTCTTTAAAACATTTTTATCATAAATATTTATTGCGCGAGTATGTGTGTGTGTGTGCTTTTGCGTGCCTCTGCGGTGTCTATGCGGAGCTCAGAGGACAGCTTGTGGGAGTCAGTTCCGTCCTTCCACCATGTGAGTCTCCTGGGGGGGGGGTGGGAATCAAACTCAGCTTGTCAGGTTTGGTGGCAATCACCCTTAGCCACAGAACCATCTCACTGACATCAATACCCATCACACCGGGGCAGGATGACTCCCTCAAGTCCGTGCAACTAGGAGTGACCCAGCACAGACCTGGGGGCGGGGTATCCCACCTGTGCGCCTCTCTCCCTAGTGGCTGGCTTGGCTCTTCACGGGGACATGCGTGCTCTGCCAGTGATTCATTAATGGAAGGAAGGGGGAGGGGGAGGGTGTGTCCGTGGCAGCCTTGCCAGCTAGGATCAGTTTACCGTGTTCTATGAAGAGCGCCTTTGCTCTGGTGCATTCGGTCTGGAGAGGATGGCCTTTGGCTGCTACTGGCCTGGCTCTCTGTCCTCCAATTCTGGGTGACAAGACAAAAGCGTGGTCTCTAGCCCTTGAGAAGGTGAGGCAGGAGGATTCCTGTGAGTTTAAGGTCAGCCTGAACTATATAGTGAGTTCCAGGCCATCCTGGGGTACATAATAAAGTTCTGTCTTAATCAAATCAAGCCAAAAACAAAGCAAATAAACCCAAACAAAAACAAGACTCACATGGCCTCCAAAAATAGACCTGGGTTCAGACATATGCCAATCCCCAATCCAGAGTTCCTCTCCAAAACCGCAGTGCCCGCCCCCCACCTGCCTGGCATATGGTAAGTAGCTTTTTGTTGGGACGTGATCTCATTCATCATCTTAGGTTGGTCTGGAACTTGTGGTAATCCTCCTGCCTCAGCATCTTAAGTGCTGGGATGTCAGATGTGTGCTACCATCCTGGTTTGTTCACATTTTAAACGATCGTCCTAGCCATTATTATGTCTGCCATTCAGACTTTTCACATTTAACAACATGAGCCTGAAACGCTGTTTTTTTTCTCCCCAGCGTTTTTATTATTTGAGAATTCGCACACACACACACTCCTCATTTCTCTTCCCTGACTCTCTCTTTATCCCTCTCTCCAGCACATCCCCCCTCCCAGTCTTTCTTTCCCTTTTCTGTTTTGATAATGCACCGGACCTAATTAGTGCTGCCCACGTGTGCATGCGTGTGGGACCACCCATTGCAGCATGGGAAAACAGCAGCACACACACCCAAAGATGAGCTCTTTCTCCAGAAGCTGCTCCCCAGTAAGGGGTGGGTCTTGGAGAACTCCTCGCCCACGCTGGGAGGGTGATTGACTGGATCCTGTGCAGGTCTTAACGCAGGTAACCACAGCTGCTGTGAGGTCGTGGGCGCATCCTTGTCATGTCCGGAAGTCACCATGTCGCAGTGTTTCCCTCTGCCCTCCTCTTGTGCAGTGCTCCCTGAGCCTTGGTGCAGAGTCGGGGTGGGGTGGGGGTAAAGATGTCCCATTTAGGGCTGAGCAGTCTGTGCCCTCACAGCGCTTTCCTTATGAGACTCTACACCGACTACTGCCCACTGGAGCTTCTGTGACCAAGGCTGAGAGCAGCTGAGGTCCTGGGATGCATGTGCACGCACACACACACACACACACACACACACACACACACGCACGCACACGCACACACATGCACTCACTCTCATACACATGCACACACACACGCTGAGAGCAGCCGAGGTCCTGGGATGCATGTGCACACACACACACACACGCGTGCGCGCGCTTACACACACGCTTGCACTCACTCTCACACACACGAACACACACACATACGCGCATGCACACACACACACGCCATACCTTTTTTCTGTTTGATTCCTTGTGTGGGTGGTTTATTGGGTAGAAAAACTGATCTGCACCAGCATCTGGTCCTGTTAACCCTTTTGTCTTTTATGGTGCCAGGGGTTGAACTGAGGACCTCACACGCATCAGGCAAGGGCTCTGCCTCTGAGCCCTTGCGAATCTGTAAAGGCTGCCCTTGCGTTCACTGTGGTGCCGTCGAAGGCCTCCAACTTGTGGTCCTCCTGCCCAGTCCTGCAGGTAGCTGAGATCACAGGCCATCTTTGTAACTTGGTGGGGACCGGGCTCCCTCAGGCTCTTCTGGGGAGCAGGGTTAGACAGGTTACCTGGCAACACAAATCCCCACTAGGATTCTAGCTCACTCCTCCCTGTGACTGCCAAGGCTTTTTGCCTTTCACGGGCTGGCTTCCCCTCGTGTAGCAGGCGAAGCTGGTTTCATTGATGTCTGTCATGTCTACATCGTTGGACTGCAGTCGTAGGATATTGACGTAGCGGAGGCGTCACACACAGAGGAAAGAAGCCCGAGTCTGCGGAGGACACCTCAGCAGACACACCCAGAATTATTAAGAGAGGATGCTGGGGATGTTTTCCATTCACTTCGGATGATGGTTCCTGAAGACCACCATCCATTGACCTTATCTTAATTGGATGATGATACCTGAAGACCACCATTGACCTTATCGTTAATTTTTAACGACACTTCTGTCAGAGTTTTAGAGGAAGACCCCAGGGCACGCGAGCAGCTAGCAGAGGAGACTAGAGGAGAGAAAGGAAATATTCAAGCCAGCCCAGCGCCGAGGCACGTGACTGACAAGCAGCTGCACCCCGGGAGGAAGGCTTTAGAGAAAACATAAGGCAGCCCAAAATGCTGAGAGAAGTGCCCAGAGTGCTAGGGAGGACATACTGAGAAGAGGGGCAGAAAAGGAAGCTTAGAGCTAGGTCTTCCCGACAGTCCAGAAAGTGGGCTGACTTAAGACACTCACGTTGCTGTGGCCCAGCGATTACTACACCCGAAACATTTGCTTAGCTTCCATGTATTTACTTGGTATGCATATGGAGCGTATGCAGTGTGTGTGTGTGTATGTGAGAGAGAGAGAGAGAGAGAGAGAGAGAGAGAGAGACGGAGGGAGAGAGAGGTATTTGTGGGTATTGTGTTTATGGATATGTGTGTATGGATTGTAGATGTGTGATGTGTGTATGTGTAGGTGTATGTATATGTTCACATGTTTGCAGGTATATGTGTGTGTAGGTGTATGTATATGTTCATATGTGTACAGGTATGTTTATGGTAGTATATGTATATGTTCACATGTATGCTGGTGTGTGTGTGTGTAGGTGTGTGCATATGTCCACATGCGTGGACTCCGTGGCTAGCCTAGGCTGTGTTGCTCACGGACTCCGTGGCTAGCCTGGGCTGTGTTGCTCGTGGACTCCGTGGCTAGCCTGGGCTGTGTTGCTCGTGGACTCCGTGGCTAGCCTGGGCTGTGTTGCTCGTGGACTCCGTGGCTAGCCTGGGCTGTGTTGCTTGTGGACTCTGTGGCTAGCCTGGGCTGCGTTGCTCTTGGACTCCGTGGCTAGCCTGGGCTGCGTTGCTCGTGGACTCCGTGGGTAGCCTGGGCTGCGTTGCTCGTGGACTCCGTGGCTAGCCTGGGCTGTGTTGCTCGTGGACTCCGTGGCTAGCCTGGGCTGTGTTGCTCGTGGACTCCGTGGCTAGCCTGGGCTGTGTTGCTTGTGGACTCCGTGGCTAGCCTGGGCTGTGTTGCTCGTGGACTCCGTGGCTAGCCTGGGCTGCGTTGCTCGTGGACTCCGTGGCTAGCCTGGGCTGCGTTGCTCGTGGACTCCGTGGCTAGCCTGGGCTGTGTTGCTCGTGGACTCTATGGCTAGCCTGGGCTGCGTTGCTCGTGGACTCTGTGGCTAGCCTGGGCTGCGTTGCTCGTGGACTCCGTGGCTAGCTTTGCATCTTGCCACCTTGGACTTGGTCTTCCTCTGTCTTAGAGCTTGGCACATCAACAAGTTTCCTTTCTCTTCCTGGCCCAATTTCCCTTTTCTGTGGGAGAGATAGGATGTTTATATTTGTGGTCCAGGGACACGAAAACAGACGGTTTCTCCGTGGAGGC